CCCAACAAGCACCCGCACGTGGCCATGATCGCCGGCGGCGCCGGCATCACTCCCATGTACCAGCTCGTCCGCGGCATCCTGACCAACCCGGCTGACAAGACCCGTATCACCCTCGTCTGGGGCGTCAACACGGACGAAGACATCTTTCTGCGTGACCAGCTCGCCGAGCTGGAGCAGAACTACCCTGGCCGCTTGAAGACTGTTTACGTCGTTGCTCAACCTGCAGCACAGTCCCCGTATCAGAAGGGGTTTGTGACTAGACAGGTGCTAGAACAGGCCGGGCTCAGTGGTACGACGGAGAAGAGCAAGGGGACCAAGGTGTTGCTTTGTGGACCGCCGGCTATGGAAAAAGCGTTGAAGGGAACAAAGGGATGGGTAGGAGGTGGCAAGAAGGGGGTGTTGCAGGAGTTGGGGTATACCCACGATCAGATTTACAACTTTTAGACGGGTGGACTGGGCTGGGGACGAGCATGTTTGTGTATGGTTTGAGTTTTTGAGGGATGGGGTTGGCGGGAGTTTGTATGACGAGTGGTGAAAATGAAATGGTTGGTACACATTGAGGAGTTGGTCGCTGCGGATAATGCCAGGATTGTGGTTGCGTCCATTGTTCAATATGGTTTTTGTAAGTAAGGGTTTCCAATGCAGTCATTCGAAAGTCAAAAAAGCAATCATCTTCCCCTTTGGTCTGGGTTCTTGGTTCTCCTGGCAGCAAGCCAACGGTTTCAATGCGGAGTTCGTTAACTAACGCAGTCACATGTGATTGCACCTGAGGTTTTCAAGGGTACTTGCTGCAAATGCGTGTCACACCTTGGAAGGGCATGCCCAACAGAGGTAGGTACATGCATAATGTGACTGACTGCACCAAAATATCTCACTCGCATGTGACAGCCGACCCTTAACGTCCCTTTTGCAGCTCTTTCTGCTCCCAGGTCGGCTCATCTCTCTCTTTTCCTCTCATACCTACGTCCAATGTAGGTATGGTACCTGCGTTTCCAAGCTTGTCCGACACCGTCTATCATGCCATTCCGCGTTGACTCCCGTTTGGATCACGGGTGTGCACCAGTGGCCTAACGGGTTTTCACCCGCCCCGCCAAGCAGAGTCAAAGATCCAGGGGTAGTGCCAATTAAAGAGGTTTTATCCGGCATAGAATCCGTGTTTCCTGGAAGCTCATCAATGATGAACATGACATCGGAGAATATCTGGACTTGAATCATCGCTCTGGTCTCCGGCCGGCGATAGTTGTTGCTCGACTGTAGGTGACCAGCTGGGGGACCAAGGAGGAGGATTCTGCTCAAGTGAGCTTCGCCCGTTCTTTGGTGACTTAGGCATTGAGACGTGAATGTAGCAGTTCGTAGTGACCAAGGTCTCGTCCAACAACAACATCAACCCATTTATTCCATTTTCCCAAAAGTGTCCCAGAAATATGATGAGATTATGAGAGGGAAAACTGTCAGAAAAGATCACAGTCAAGACACTACACCATTGACCAAGGTCCTGTTCAACACAATTCAATAATAGGAATAATATAGACACTCTAGGCTGATTGATCACAGCGACTACTTTACCAGCTCAATCACCAATGGCTTGGTTGGTAGGAAGGCTTGATGCCGGACCAAAGTCCACAAAAAGATGGTTGGCGAGGACCTAAAGTTGACTTGTGATGTTTAGAGACCATGGCCTATCTGTCCATCGAAACGGGCACGCGCATGAAAAAAAAAAAAAAAAAAAAAAAAAAAAAAAAAAAAAAAAAAAAAAAACCTAGGAAGTACATTTCCGAAGAAATCTCATGTGGTGATGTGTGGAAGAAAGGCGAAAATCCGGTGCAGTTGGCGAAGATAGAGGAGGATAACTTCTACTTCCCTTTCACATTGTGCTGTACGTTGGCGACTCCGTTCTCCTCTCATCATTTCGTCTACCTCTATTCGGTGCGCCTTGGTATTAGGCAACTTGACTTCGACACAGCTTCGGTTCAATTCAACAATTATTTGTGTAAGCTTTGGATGATCTAGTGTCGACAACTTCGCACCGCCGTTTAATGTGTATGAAGTATTGCGAAATCTGGTGATAAAAATTCAAGTCGTTAACGAAATCTAGACAAACATAATTAAGACCGATTGCCACCGCGAGGTAGAAGCAGAGACACATGTCCCAACCAAGACCAAATCACGCGTACCTCTGCCGTCTACAACTGCGTGGTTTGTCCGTCCGGCCTAGGTAGGTAGGGAGACGGGCGACCCATTACTTGGCGAAGAAAAAAGACAACTACAATAGGTAGGCATTGTCTGACACACACACCGATGCAATGAAGCCAAGGCTGCTGGGTTGCCTGCCCTTCCGAAGCCCACCGTCGCCACGGAAGCAGTAACATCACCTAACGCAACCGTGTCCGTCATCAAGGTGTCTTTCTGGGGAAGGAGCTTACCAAATAGCCGACCAAGACGATGTGTTCCTTCCTGAGAAAGGATGGAAAACTTTGCTTTTACAAGAGATTTTACTGGTGACGACCAGAGAAAAGGCGACTATTGCAACGCACCTACTTTATCCCAATGTGGAATTCCGACAAAAAGCTCGACATAATCCTCGAGTACCCAAACCCTCCATCCTTGGCTGCTCTCAAATCATTACCAGAATTTACCTACGGAGACGAACATGGTTTTGCGGTGCACCTCTTTTACAATACTCTAAAAGCCCAAACAATCGCCTTCGATCTACGTCGGTAGCGGGACAGACAAGAATGTGTCCCTCTGAGGTTCCGTCACTAAGACGAAGACCAAAGTTGTCGAGTTTAACGAAAAGTTCGCACCAAAACGGCTACAAAAGGCCTCAAAGTGGCAGAGAAGAGGAGGAACCACCGCTCAAGCTGGAAGGAAACCATGGACAAGTTCCACCCGCTAGACCATTTGATCAAGGCTCTAGAGACCGTAGCCGCCACCGCAGATGGAGCCGATTTCGTCGTCATGAGGTCGCCACTTGTTCCCACCTTTGGGGCTTTGATTCGCCCTGACGGCACCCGCGCAGAGTTTCTTGACAATGACTGGGCAGCGACCCAAGCCCTCATCCAATTTAAGGCCAAGCAAGGCTTCGACCACAGTCTCCTTTACCAAGAACCTTCTCAGGCTTTGGAAGAGGACCTTGTCTTCCCGCCGGTATAATCAACTACCTCCGATCGCATCCATAAAGTCTTGACGTACCGTGTTTTCGTTAACCATCTTGAGGGCAATACCCATGTTGCACTGTTCCAATTTCTTCAGGCGGTAAGCCGTCTGCTGCTCAGATGTCATGGTATCGTCCCACGTTTGGGCGGGGGCAGGCAGGTTTCGACCTTGAAAGGTCCACGGCGTCGGCATTTTAGCGCGATTTGTAAGGGTAATGTAGACGCCTAGTACTTGTAATGAGAACCTTGGAGAGACGCAAGGAAGACGGCGGGAGAGCAGCGGCGGGGAGCGACAAGGAACAATCGGAGTTGGTTGCGCGATGTCTTGCCAAGATACCTGTCAAGACCGCCAAAACCGAACTTCACAATGAGTCTACGCTTCCAAAATCCGTCAGGGACTTACCGCTCGGAAGAGTCTGAACAAACAGTCTGACTCGCTCAAAGCACACAGACTTAGACTCAGACAGTTTCCGTTATCAATGAACATCATCCATCAAGACTATGACTAGGTCCGACTTGCTGTCGGCCTCTAACCAGGAAGCCGATTTTGACACCGCCGCCAAAGAGGCCTTGTGATAGGCGTTGAAGGTATCGTTTAGAATTTGCGCTTCAAATTCGAGCGTTTCATGGTCTTTATTGATAGCGGTAGAGATTTCGATCATGCGCGCATCGACGGCCTCCTGGATGTGACGTTGGAGGCTGCTCAGGCTGGAGGTGACGTTTCCGCTAATCTCGGGAAGACACAATTGATCCGCCCCTCGACTTGCCTGAGAGAAAAACCACAGTCGGACTCCCGTAGGAATCAACTACACTGGGCCTGATCAACCTGTGGCATGCCAGCAATACAGAGAATTATCTGGAGGGCACATCAATCACAGCAGCCCTGCACTGGATGTTCGAGGGGAAGATGAAGAAGTTGATCTAAGGCCAAATTTGGTACATGAGACGTTCCTCAAAAAACGATGAGAGAAGGCCGAGAAAGAATCATGTCATTTCATCTGATCATATCATTTCCCTCGTCATTCCTTCATCCCATGTCTCAGTTCAAAACTACTTATGCATCAATTCTCATGAGATATGTCTGTGGACAGGACGAAATCATGGATCACCTTTTTGGAAATATGGGTCCCTTTACTTTTTGACTTTTCGAAAAGTCAAAGAAGGAATTTCTCCTTCTCTCCATTGGTTCCGGAACCCTCTGCGCTAGATTGTTGCAGGACTCGAGAAGAACATTACGACATGGATGGGAAAGCACCAGAAAGACAATGGCATGGGGAGTTGTCATCTGAGAGATCGTCTGGGGAACCCATTTCGCCGTAGTCGGTGCTGTCTGTTTCGATCTCTCTTGGGCAACTGTATTGTTGACGGCCACGTCACTATGCTCTCGACGAGTATGGTCGATCCATTGCCCTATGCTGTTGAAATGGGCATTGCAAGTCGGACATCTGAAGTAGGCTGATATGTCTTCTTGATGCTGCGTGATGCATGAGATCCGCGTAGCGAGCAAATGAAGAATGTCTTGATTGATGGTCTGTCTAACTCTGAGTCTGTCTGTTGACTGACTGCCGTCAAGGCTTATATGCTTGAGGCGAGCGAAGGTTGAGGCTTCCCCCAATGGGGCGCCGCTTCCCTCTGCAGACAAGGTGCTCACGGGGAAACCCCGTGTCACTGCGACATCCACAGGTTCAAATCGAGCAGAGGCATAGTAAACCTTATTGTCGGGGGTCGGGGTGTGATACCAGTAGTAGTACTTGTAATGGCCCATCTAGACATCCCCAAGGACTTGTCCATCCGCCAAAGGGGAGTTTGCACGGGTACCGTACGTAGGAGAGCAAGAATCTTCGGTCAATAGTCGGTACTACTGAAGCCCATTGCCATATTGGTAGCGAAACTATCGATTGTGATGGTACACTTTGATAGGTCGAAATCGTTGATAGGGTCGACAGCCCATTGCGGTGTTGGTGGTGTAACGGGCTGTTCATGGTGATGGCGTAATTGGTGCTGCCTGGCGCGGTGTTGGTTGTCGTTGCCCTGAGGTCGCTCTGGTCGTGGCCACTGTCCAAGTGCGTTTATGGGCATCAATTCGTGGCAAAAGTTGCGACCGATGATGAGAGCCTCATGGCCCTCGTCATAACCATTCAGCTGGAAGCCCGCAGGCAGGATTCTCCCATTGTCAACCTGTGGATGCAGTGTCAAGACCCAAACGAGTTTGTCATTCTGTGAAACATGGCGCACCAGTGTGGGCAGGGTAGTGAACGTTCATTTCACTCCATCTTCGAGACAGTACGGGCAAACAAACACTCCGTTCTGCTTTTGTCCCCACTTCCTTTTCCAAACAGCTTCGCCGGTGTATTCCGTCTTCATGTGGACTTCCAGCTTCGCTCTTGTCGGCCACACCTTTGATCTGGCCTTGAGGTCCGCGGTGTCATCGGTCTGACACAACGGACAAGTTACCGAGGAGTTCTTGAAATCGGTTTTTATTGAAAAGGAGTTTTCGAGCAACAACCCCATGAGAGTTTTGGCCACAGTTGTCGTGGCCAGCGTCGCCCTCCACAAGATGCAGACGAATTTCCAGGAGCTGGAGTAGACTGACAGAACGCCAGAGACTTATTTGATAGGGTGGCCATTTTCAACCAAACTCTCCAGGTGGCGGGGGGAGGTCACGGCCAAATGGATCTGGATAGACGCATTAGCACTAACCTCTCAACCTTCCGTCTCAAGGGATCTCTTGTTCCATCACTCAAGTTCCGAGCCATGTGATGACCCTTCAGCACCACCACTCACCCCTTTTATAACTGTGCGGTATCAGAGAGCAAATCTCACAGTCAAAGTCTACTCTAATCAGAGCGAAATGAACAACGTCGCACACTTACTACTACCTTTAATCTCTCTATAGAATATGTGAACTGTGATCGAGTAAACAACCATCGATACACAATAAGCAGACTCTCATCGGAGTAAAATGTACAAAGTTGCAATGTCATATTCGTCCGAATTTACATCACTTCTGATTTCACTATTCTCTTAGAACGACTACCGCGATCATGGTTTTACTCAGGGGGTAGTTCGGTATTGGCGTCGGATTTAAGGTTCGCATGAGGTTGGCTTCGCGGCACCGTCAACGGTTTGGCACACGACAGTCTATAGTAGTGACCGCACGATCGATGTGTCCTGACACTCCAGGCTTCTGCGGACCCGTGTATGCCTCGATGCGCCCATTTGGGGTCGCCGACTGGACCTACCAGTGGGCGTTTACCCCTTTTGGGTTGAAGTGAGAGTCCGGGGGCAGTCTAAACATTGCGACTAGGGTAAAGGCAGCGACGTTCTTAAAAGCCACAGCAGGGAGAACATCCACGGCCACTGGAGACCCGGCTAGGACCGAGAACAAGATGGGGTGTACCTTGGCGATCTCACCATTCATTCCATAACGAAACCCAAGCAGGTCTCTATAATTGGAACTAAGTAACGGCGGGAGGAGATACATTGCACAATCCAGCCTACTACATCTAAACGCTGGTCCCTAACGGCAGGCGTAGGCTTGAAGTACCGCACGATCTCGTTTACCGTAGCGACGTGAGCGGCGCGCACACGGAGATCTTGAAGCTGTGCCCAGATCCAGCGACGAACTAAGCGATGCAGAACAGCGGCGGTGTCTCTGTGGGGAAGAACGAACGCCACAATGAGGTTGACGATGCTGCGCGGCGCTTGCACCATGATCTTATTTCCAAAATCGACGACCACGTGCTCCTTGGCGGCTTCGACAGAGTTGCACGAAAAAAGAGAGAGGAAGATGTGGTGTCTTCGACCAGGGTGTCAAGGAGTTGTCCCATGACTGAAATGGGATTGTGTAGTTGACTAGGCAGACGAGCATTAATCAGTCAGGTGGTTTAATCAGATTGGCACTCACGGACAGTCCTCCGTAAGGATGTAACTCATCAGACTTGGGCATCTCCCATTTCTCATATCGAGTTCACCGAGTCCTCAGAGTACACCACAAGTCGATAGTCAGGCCCTCGAGTGGTCACGCATGAGCAGCAAAACAACGACCGCTCGAGAAACTGAATTGCGATCCTTCTAGTGTGAGATCACATGGCTTTCTCTAGCCATCTGCCTATTGTTTTCATTCGGTGTAAAACAGATGACACCGAGTAAAGTGTTTCAGTACCTGCTAGTCACTCTCTTACCAACATGGCGGGACCAATCACAGCTGTCAAGCAACGTCAGTTGTTGAAAAGTAAAATGCACAATAGGAATACCGAGTATCTTATTGACTTCTATTGTTCTTTTATCTTGAATAGCTTCTTGCTGTGCTCTGAGGTCTTCCCTTCTGGCAAGTTAAAAGGGAATGTTTCTATTTCGGAGTGGAATTCTGTTCCCCTTTTTTTCTCCTTTGCTATCAACAACCTTCGATCACTCAGGTAAGAGCCTCGATTCTCACTTTTAATTCACTACTCCCATCCAGATTCCCCCTGAAAAATTGTCACCGGGACATCCACTTTTGCCGCTTCTCATGAACTTTCCTCTGCACCTGCATTACAACTTCAATTGTCTGAATCTGAACATGCCCTTCACATCTTTTGCATCTGCAGCCATCAGATTTTACCATGTACCTTCAGTCGTTCGTCTAATCCAGCGTTCACATGGTTTGGGTTTGTTACGTCCTCTGTGTTTTGTTCATTTTTCTTCCGTTGTCAACGCTGGTCACATTGAAGACCTCAGCCGTCGTCTTCATCCCAAGCTCCAGCCCAGTGGCCAGCTAGAGGCAATAACAGAGCAGCTCATATTACCCGCCACGAAGAATAGGTAATTCATGACCTTCAATTCCTGCTATCCTTGTAACCGCTATCGTTTTTATGTACCTCCCTATCACCAAGCATCTCTCAAGACAACCCACAAGAGACATCTCTGTAGTTCATTTGAATGTATAAACGGATTATGCCCTGCCATCATTACTGTCCTAGCTGCCTCATTCGAGATTACTTGACGACACCGCCTGTAACAGCCAATTCCTCGTTGCGATGAGCGCCCAGTGGCGTTGCATAACCCTATCCGTGCGGATGTTTCGTAAATTATGGGAGTGTTTTGACTTCACATGAATCATGGCGGACATGTTGCGTAGTCTGCTTTGCCCCTTTCAGCTTGGAGACAATCGTTCAAGATGATGTGGGCAGTCGACTGAGATGACACTGTCAAAGTTGACCTCATTCTCATCTCCTCCACCAGCCAGTGGCCTGGTACAACCCACTGAGAGGGGCCTACATCACCCATCAGTAATGCCATGGAAGCGAACTCCTTTATCACTTTCCACGGCCGTCAAAGTTGACGTCGTTTTCATCTCAAGCCCCAGCCATTGGCCAGTGAGGAGTTGTTGGCATCTCATCTAGGAGAGCCCTCGTCACTCACCAGTAATCCCAATTGAAGGGTTCACGAACGTCGTTTGCATTGGGGCCGTCCCATTTCATCCCAACGCCATCCAAGCTGATCCAATCGGCAAATCACCTAACCCAGCCATTTATCCCCCGATATCAAGGTCCTAAGCTTGCTCTCCCTACTTGGTGTTGGTATTCACCGCAACGCAAACGGTCCCGCCCTTACCCTGGTTGGTCACCGATCCTCACCGGCGGAGAGCCTCCTCTTCCTCGAATACTTAAGGCAGCCAGCGTTTCTGTTCCCCTTCCTCTTTCTTCTCCCTTCCCTTCTACGCAGTAGGGCAGTCCAACAATTTATCAACATCACCCATCAAAGCATCACCTACCACTACCCAATCACCTGCAGGGCAGTGATCGGAATTCCAGCGGCCAGTGATACAGCCCGTTCTAGCTTTCAGTCCCTTCACTCGTCCTCTCCAGCCGGCCAGCCTCCAATGGGGCGTAGGCGGAGAGCCTCTCCTCCTTCGGATACCTAAAGGGCACACTTCCCTCCTCTTCTTCCTGCAACGGAGCAGACAGTCAAGCAAATCTAGCCTCGTGACTGACATTACCACCACCTACCTACCTAGATACCATCAAAAACCACTACCACGTCAGCTCGAACGCAGTAGGTAGACCTCCTTCCCTCAGCTCATCCTCTGTTTGAAAGCCGCCTACCGACATCATCGTATATCGACAACATCATCTCTCACACATGTTCCCTTCTGACCATTGCTGACTGCGGAAACAGAGCACAGTACCACTTACCACCATCGCCTCCAGCATTGCCGGTTATCAAATCACACCACGCAAAACTTTTCACGACGGCTATTATTTACTAGTAAAAGATCAGTCGACATTACCACTGCCCTAGTCAAGATGGCTGCCCCATCTTTATTTCCCTCCTCCCGCGCTGCTGCCAATCTCGCGTGGCTTGCCCCAGAGATCCAGCCCATGTCTGTGCCTCTGGACACCTCCAGGCCCATCGACAACATGGCGACTACCAACTCCACGACCCATAACTCCCACCGCCCTGCCACTCCGGCCGACAAGCGCCGCGTCTACCCTGCTCCGGCCATCACGCCTCCTCGCTCTCCGGCCACCCCGGACCAGCGGAAGCTGGTGACCGTCCGGCGGGTGCAAAAGGTCGACATGGGCAGCCACAAATTTCACGATAAAGTGGTTATTGACGGCTGGACCGTCGCCGCCGCACGCCACTCCGTCCGCGAGGGTCAGCTCGCCATTTTCATCGAGCCCGATGCTCTCCTGCCTGCCGTGGATGAGCACTACTGGCAGTTCTCGCAGGCCGGCAACCGCACTTGGATCAAGGGCAAGGAGTATTTCCGCGTTGCCACAAAGTGTCTTGGTTCACCGAAGGATCCGAGATCGCAGTGGGTTTCGCAGGGACTTGTCCTCAAGCTGGAGGACTTCCCGGAGATCAACGCTGATGTGATCCGGAAGGGGAGGCTGGCAATGTTTGAGGGAGAGGAGATTTCTCAACAATTGGTCGACTACTCGGACATGCTGGGCGTCACGAAGTGGGAGCCCCATGGCACCACCGGTCCCAACGGAAACGGCAATGTTCTCGTCAAGATTCCGTCTTTCATCAAGAGAACGGACACTGAACGTGTCCAAAACTGCCTCAACCTTTTCACCAAGGAAAAGTACAAGCATATCATCTACCAGGAAACCATCAAGCTCGACGGCAGCAGCATGAGCGTCTACTTCATTCCCAAGACGTCCAAGTACTTTGGCAGCCTTCATCGACCTCATCCCGGATCCGAGGCCCAGACCGTTCTTACCTTGGGTCGCTTCGGGGTCTGCAGCAAGAACATCGATTTGCCCTACTCCAAGGACTGCCCGTACTGGAAGGAAGCACTGGCAAACAACTTGCCAGCCATTCTTGAAGGCCTACACCAGAAGAACAAAAACGGCACCATCGCCATCCAGGGCGAACTCGTTGGCCCTGGAATCAATGGTAACCACCACAGCCTGCCGGAGAACTCCGACCCGGAGTTTCACGTCTTTTCGATCTGGGACATCCAGAACCTGAAACGCTGGGATCCCCGCGTTGTCAAGAATTTCTCCGATGCTCACAACCTCAAGCACGTCAAGGTGATGGGATACCACAAACTCCATGACATTGCCGAAAGTCACGAAGACCTGATCTCCTTGGCGGAGGTGAGGGGGGGTGAGGGCATCGTGTTCAAGAGCTGCGTTGATGGTCGCTGGTTCAAGGTCTTGTCACCGCAGTGGATCGTTGAGCAGGGTGATGAGAAGGATGCTCGGGAGGCGAACAAGTCGAAGACTGGAGGAGAGAAGAATAACATTTCGAGCGGCAAGAAGAACAATGCCTCGAGCGGAAACAATGTCAACATAACTGATATCCACGCTACCAGCTCGGGTCAAGTCGAGGAGGGGAAGGCCGAGGTAAAGAGTTTTGGGCAGCAGCAGGCCGACGATTATGACACGCGCGGCAAGGACAGACCAAGATATACAGAGGTTGAGTTGCGCGAAGCCGAGATTCAGGAGGAAAAAATGATGATGATCGAGAATTGGTTGGACAATGCTACGCCTGATGATGCGAAGATGAAGGCCGAAGAGGCTTTGGTTACCGACCATGTGGAACTCAAGGACACGAGCGAAGGAACGGCGGAGGAAGCCCTGGTTACCAATAAGCCCGAGGACATTGGCGAGAGGACGGCGGAGGAAGCTTTGATTGCCGACGAACCCAAGAATGCAGGTGAGGGAGCGGCGGAGGATGCTCTGGTTGCCGACAAACCCGAGGACACTGGCAAAGAAACTTCCGAGTGCGTGACTATCCAAGATGTTGGAGAGAAATCCGCCGAGAAGAAAGCTGGTAAGCTCTCGGACACCCTTCCTCCAAAGGAGTTCGACAACGTGCAAGATTTTCTGGATGCCGCTGTTACCTGGCTCGGACAACCGATGAGCCACAGAGAAGCTATCGAAGAGATCGGTCGCATCATCTTGACCGAGATGGCGATCAACAAAGAGAACATTCAAGCGTCCATGAAAGACTTGGCCGAGGTTGTACTGGATGAGCTGAAGTTTGTCGCAACCGATGAGAGTATCGCTCACCAAGAAATGCCGTCCAAGGACGATGCTCCGACCAATATCGCCCCCACCGTTCCCGACACTCCCAAGAGTCCTACCAGCCCGGACACTCCCACCACTTTCGACGCTCCGATTACTGCCCACGAAACCAATCTGGCAATGGAGCCTGTGATCGTTCCGGAGTTCGTGACGGGACCGGTGCAGCAAAATGCCATGGGCAACCCTACTCCCCCCGCCTCCGAACATACCGACGAGCAGAACGTGTTGGCCGGCGTCAACTGGGATGATTACAAGGTTATCAAGCGGGGAGGCCAGCTGGTGTGCATCAGACGGGAGGACTATGTCCCCAGAAGCCCGCCCTCATTGTACCCGTCGGCTGAGGAGATGGCACGTCGCAGAGAAAAACGTCGCCGTTCTCGTCGTTAGAGGCCAAGAAAGAGGTCTTCCGAGGCAATTCAAGTTATCAGGTTATTGGAGCATGGAAATCGATGGTTGGGTGACTGGATGGATGTTCCTGGAGTTTAGGGGAGACTCGTCGAGAGTCGGTGGCACCGTGATGGGAATTTGGTTCCAATTGCCTTCTTTTTATATTTCTGTTGTCGGGTCAGGTAGCGTTGCTATTGCAGGAAGAAGAGATATTATCCAGAGCAGGACTATGGGCGTTCGGTCACCAAAACATACCTAGGAGATGACTGAGGTGGTTAGGTAGTCATCAGATTGCTGGTTTTCCCTTGAAGTTCATATTCTTCATATCGATCATGAACCCGTGACCTGAACCTCGGTTACAGTAGCCCTGTTGATAATCCATGAATTGTGCGACTGGTGACTGGCGAGTGTCACTGAGGGTGTGAAGCTCAAACGCGGGCCGGTGGCACAACCGCAGTGCCGAAAACATGTGGTGACGATCTCATTGTCATTGGGTAACCAAGAGACACAGCATCGGTGGTGTAAGTCAAGATGGTTGAGCTCGACGCCAGAGCCTTGGCGACAATATTGTGAATCACGATGTCTAGTGAAGTGATGGAGTTGAAGCGTGGATGAGGGAGGACCTGACGAGCACGGGACCTCGACGTCGTCAAAAGAGGATCCCCTGCTCCACCAAACAGTAGGAGCTCAGACCACCGGCAGATCAAGCTGTGGGGCAAGCGGAGCTTCAAGCGAAGAGCTGATCCACCCAGGTGGTCAAAGCTCCCTGTGGTGCCTGGCGCAGCTGAAACCCAATTCGGGTTAGGCTTCGAGATGCTAGCTCAACGGACCAGTCATATCGTCCGAATCCCTTCCAGCGTCTCCCAGCCTCTGGAATTCACCCGTGGGCGGCCGGCCAGTGTCACTGTAACGCGAAGAGCATCCACTGATTTCAAAGTCTGGGTCACCAGGGCATGTCCCTTCATCCATGTCCTGTTCCCCCCGTCCCAAGGTCCTCTTGGGCGCTTGTTCAGCTTGTCAACATTAAATAAAATATCTCGCGATTTTCATCTGGACACCGCTTGTTTTCTTCTTCCATCTCATCCACTCACTAGCTCATAATTTCATCTTGAATAAAAAGAACAAGCAACAGTTCGCTTGAGTCTCAGTTGACGACATAACCGACCCAAATATGCCACCCCCACCGCCCCCAGCGAACCGGACCATGTCTCCGCCAACCAGGCGGCCCGGTGATCGCGACCAACTGTATAACCCGCGTCAGTCTGATGCCAGCTTGCCATACCGACCAGACAACGAGACGGTAACCATTCAGAAGCCCAATGGCTCTGAAACCACTCTCAAGCTTCCTCCATCCAGCCTTAAGGATCTACCATACCGCCCCGCTCCCAATGGCACCTCGGATCCCAAGAGACGGCCATCCGACCCAGCCTACCGCCCCGGCGACCGTGATCGTGATCGTGAACCCCAACCACAACGCAGAGCCTCGTCCCCAGCACCAGGCGCCATTCCGCCAGCCCCAGTGTCTCCCACATCCAAGCCATCCTATGCCCCCAGTCACTCCCCTCCCGGCTCACGGAACCCTTCCCATGGCAACTACCCACCGGCAAGCTCCAATGGGCCCGGCGGCTTTCCCACCGGTGGCCGTCTCAAGACTCAGACTCCTCCCCTGGACCCTCTCGACCCACGCTCGCCTTCCTTCGTCCGTCGTCCACCTCCCGGCCCTGCTCCCATCAACGGCGGCATGAACGGCGACCACAACGGTTCTCTGAACGCCATTGGCGGTGGCAACAACCGCCGTCCCGACGTAGTCGAATCCATTCCCGGCCCTGCGGCCCCGCTTCCTTCCAAGAAAGATGACCGCGACCGGTTTGATCGTGATGGGCGACCTCGGCCCAGCTCTGATTACACCCGTTACGGCTCCGAACGTCCTCCTAGCCCAGGATACACCAAACCGATCCGCCCACCCCCTCCCCGCAACAGCAGCAGCACTGGAAATAGCGATTATGGAGTTCCCACCAGCAGACCGAATGGCAAGGTCCACCCCAACCCCAACCCAGGGGCAACCAACCCGACGACCCGTCCCTCCATCGGCCCGGGCCGCCACGGCTCCATCATTGAAATGATGCCCGGCCCCGCCGCTCACCCCACTCCTCCTGCTCTCAGTCACAGCCACAGCCACGGCCACATCCATCCCTCTCTCGGCCTCACCAAGCCCAGCAAAAACGCCGCAAAGCTCTCCGAACTCGAAGAGGGTCTACTGTACGGCGACACCGAGCGATACCCGCCGCAAATGGAGCTGGGTGACTACCGGCAAGCAACCGAATGTTCTTTGAGGGAGTACATGGCTTTGCAGCGCAAGCGGCGACAAATTAGTTACAAGATTGCCGCAGGAAACAGCGGCAAGGAGGCGGCACAGGTTGAGGAGAAGCTGAGACATCAGGCCAGCACGGCAATCGATGAGTTGATTGAGTTGCGCGGAAGGGTGGCGGAGATCGTGAGGAGGGGGGAGAAGGCAAGGTGGAGGCGGTATTTGTGGAGTGGTGCTTTGTGAGTTTTTCTTCCCTTCTCCTTCATTCTTCCCGTCGTGGTGACCCGCTGCACACGGCTTTTGTTTTTGTTTTTTTTCCTCGCTTCGCTCGATTTTCCCCTTCATTTTCCCGACCAAAGACTAACAAGGAGTCAAACAGCGCAATCTTCATCCCCTTGGTAAAATCTTTTTTCCGCCCCTCGTCCGTCGACAGAGGCGCACATGCCCGTGAGCATCGTGGCGAGCGCTCCCACAACCGAACTGAATATGCCTTCCGCAAATCCAAGTCGTTGATCAACCGGATCCTTTCGCAAGCTCGGCGGCCCGGACTGGCCAGTTTGAGTTTCCTCGTCTTTGCCGTGTTGTACGTCTTCACGAACGAGGTGTCGCTGAGGGCGGCAAGGACGGTGAGCAGAAGACTGAAGAGGTTGACGGCCAAGGTGGAAAGGGGACGGGAGTTGGGCGAGGATGATTTTAGGGGATTGAATGGGTGGAGGTGGGGAGTGCTGGAGTTGACTGCTTAATGGAGGGTTGGTCATGAGGGAGGAAATGGAGCTGGAGATGGAAAACAGAGAGTAAAGACGAGGAATGATGGAGGAAGACATGATATCGATGATTAATGACTGGTGATGACGGAGTTGTTGGCAGGCGTCAGATGACTTTTTTCTTCTTTCTTTTTGGGTTAATGACGAGGTTTTGGAGAGAAGGAGGAATAGGACGAGGAAGGGCAGATTGGGAAGAACCGACGGTTTGTTTTTTGGTGGCTGTTGTCCATGTTAGCTGTTTTCATACCCTCGCTTGTACCATTTCTGTGTTCTAACTGTATGTAGGAAGTAATGTTGAGGTAGATTGACATCCTGAACTCAGTCGGCTGCGATACAATGTAGATGGAAGAGTCTGACACTTACTCATTTGCTAATTGTCCCTACTTGATGCAAAAGTTCCCCGTTCGTCCCTTCAATCACGCGCATCACTAGGTGAGTAAACAGTTTGTGGCATTTTAGTTTGCCTTTTTGACTCACAAACCACTCACTCGCCATTTGCCAACATCCCAGTGGCATTGACACATACGTATCTAGGCCCCTCCGCTATCCATTTATAACATGCGAAACATACCTCCCCACGGCGCAATTGCGTTGCAACATGAACAGTCCTGGTGTAACTGAAACTGACCTCCACGATGGCCACCCCGAACTACACACCCGAGCAAATCTCGGCCCTTCGATCCCTGCGGGACCGCCTCCGCTCCGCACAATATACCTGGGAAGTCCGGCAGCTGTTGAAGAACACAGCTAGCGCTACAGGACTGAAGCAACTACAGCTCGTACAATGGCAGGATGAGGATAACAATAGGAAAAACCTGCTGCATTTCTTAGTGGATGAGAGGCTTGAAAGTAGGTGAATCCCCTAGTGCCTGGGTTTTATGTTGTCGAAGATAAAGTGACGTCTAGACGTTGGATGCGTAAAGTCAAGTGATAGACAATAGCTAAATCCAACACCAACAAAAACCAACAGAAGTAGCCATCCTCCTCATCGAAGTCTTCTGGAGCCGAAAGGAAGAAGACCAAAAACAGCTCATGCGTATCATCAGGTATCCAAAGTGCTACATCGATAGTCCTGAAGGCAGCGGCGGGGAATATACAGTTGAGCGTCTCGCGGAAGGACGAAACTGTGAGCAGCTGGTGGACATGATAAGCCGGTTCCGTGAGCTGTGTCCTCAAGATACCTCTACGGGAGAAGAAGAAGACGAAGAAGAAGAGACAGAAGAGGAGAGAGCAACGGCAATAGAACGTATGAGACGTCTTCAACGAATAAGCACCCCTATACCTCGAACTCCTTCTCCTCCTCCTCCGTCGTCATCAAATGGTTCTCTTCTTCCAATTCCACTGGAACCCGCTAACTTTTCTCCACTGCATGTGTTTACCACAACAAAGAAGAAGAAGAAGAAAACTCCTCTGCATCCTCCTCGTGCTGCGCGACAAGTTAGTTCTAGTCCTCGCAGTACTCCTCCTCGCAGTACTCCTCCTCTAGCTAGAGGCGGTACCCCTGTAGAGATAACAATCTGGAGTTCTCCTCCTTCTTCTCGTGCTGCAATACAGACGCCTATTCTTCTACGTGACGATGCTCACGACCAATCTCAACCTAGTACCCCGCCGCCTTTCATACCTTCTACTACTCCTCCTCCAGCCCCAGGGGCACCAGATACTCCACTTTGGTATCCCCCTTCGGAACACTCAGAGCACTCAGAGCCAGAGCCAGAGTGGGAGGAACAAAGAGTAAGAGAAAGTCAACGGATTCAGAGCCCTTCAACACCACCGCCGCTGGGCAGTTCTGTGCCTGCCTCGTCTGAACGGACACTTGAACCTCTCACTCCGGTTCGTCTTCTTCTAGTACCTGCCAATTTCCTCTCTCTCCCTTATGGACCTATGGGTTGAGACTAATCCTGATGCGTCAATCGGTAGTCTAGAAACAGTAGGGGGAGATGGCGGTAGTCTTGAGGTATGTCAAGGATCCCTCTGCAAGGGTTATAAGCCCTGGCATAAACCTGGCGCTTGGAACACCATAACGACCGCTTGGTAGAGGTATGAATTGTGTGGGTTGGGGTAGGGAAGTGAAGTAGATACATGTAGTGTAGGTACAGGACTTGAGGGGTGTAGACGGATTGATATCCGGGGAGGGGGGGTTAATATGTACGCAGAAGAAGAAGAAACGGTCTTGTTTGTAGCGTGTGGGAAAAAGCGTTGAGTCCGTCCGTACAGGTATGATGATGTTTCTGGGTCCATGTGACACAATGGTCCGTTTGAGACCGAGTCCTTAAGATCTGCGCTCCGAGACTGCGGCCGGTCCCGGTCCTACAGGTGGCTTCAAAACACGCTTTAGCTTCAAAGAGCCATCATCTTCCGCTATTATGTACCACCCGTCACAAACATCACTATAACCTCCTCGCTAAACACTACGCTCAACGTCATCAACCGGCAAAGTAATTCATGTAGTACGATTCGGCCCGCCGCTATCGTATGGTGGAGGGGGGTCAGGGTGCTGTGCATCTGTGTTTGGTGGATTTGCGTTCGGTGGATTCGCGATTGGAAGTGTCTTCGGGAGTCCTTGTTCGTTGCTGGCCGCTTTTATATATAGATAGTACCCAGCAAATGATATAGCCGAGTACATCGATAGGCCATACTCCGAGAAATATGATAGATGCTAGGTAGGCAGATGGTGGTGATGCGAGTTCTTTGTGTATTCTCTGGGACGTTGGTAAAGGCATCAATGGTTCCGTTGCAGCGAACCCAAACTTTGGTTGACCTATGCCAAAACCACAGGTATCCGATAAAAACCCCTCCAACAATAGTTGAAACAAGAGTCTGGGTTGGGAAATTGGCGTTGTCAGCCTCGAGGGCCATCGAGACAGTGGTGTTCATCCTACAATATTAATCAATATATAAGAAAGGAGTTAGAGAAACAGGAAAGTAGAGAGTTGAATAGTAAGCGAAAAACATACTTGGAGGGAAATTTCTCACGAAAGGTGCTCGGGCTGCCAAGCCTCTTATTGTGAAGGCTGCGCGTAGCTAGTCTCGCAAGTACTACGAAAAGCTCGACAAGTGGCTTGCTAAATAGTTGATTTCGACGGGAAATACTGAGTTCAAGTAAGAAGGAAATAACTGATGAGTAGGCCGCTGCCCTATTGACCATGATAGCCGAGTGTGTGCGGAAGATAAGTCTGATGAGCAAAAAATGTGTACAATGATTACTGCCAAAGTTTGGTTGAGTGTTGGGCGAAGAATTTGAGAGGGGGGATACAGTAGTTTAAGTACCTGTTGGGAGGGCCCGGGTTGGGTTTCCTATCTGATTGCTTTCATCCTTTGTGACCAGTCATCCTTTCTGTACGAGTACTGGTAAAGCTCACTTCTGCAGGTACATGGGTAGGTTGGGAGGTCCGAGGTTACGGTTGCCAAGTTTGATGCCTACCGTTTGCCAGACGGGATGAATAACAAGTGGAAGGTGCAGTGGTAATCAATCCTACTTGTTGGAGAGGGGTCCAGGTTCCTGTCGGGTCTCCAACTCTGCTCCACGTCTTAGTCGGAGGTTTGAGAATACGCAGCTGTAGAGTCGCAGAGTTTACAAGCGGGGCAACGTAAAGTCAACAAGTCAACTAAAATGCACGATAGGTCACACAGGAGTGAATTTGTAGCAGAAACAAAGAACCAAGGTGATGTTTGAGTCCAAGGAAATGCTAAAATGGAATGGTAGACTTACCAAGTTATACCAGGACACGCATATTCTTCGCAGTGGGGAATTCGCATTTGTTTGGGAGACAAGATTTGAGTACCTCTATACGTCTTTTGAGTGTCCCGTCAGTCTTCTTCCAAAGCGGACAGGCAAGAACTCGGCCCGTCTTTGCAATCTCCACCTCCGTGAGTAGAAGCTCAATCCCCTGGCTAGCTCCACTGAATAAGGGAAAATGTTAATGTCTCGCTGTCTACCTAGGTAGGTAGCGTGTCAAAGAAGCTCTCGGGAGGAGTTCGGTCGGTCGGTCGCCTTTGCAAAGTCGAGCTCACCGTCGGCGGTCTTTCCTTACATTCCGGATACGCACTCCCGGCTTTGGAAAGCGGGCCACTCGCAGTGTGACTACCTACCTCTAGGTCCACAGAGCCAATGACGTCACCTAGGTTCTAGAGGTACGCTTTTGGGTGTACCTGTCTGTTCCCAGTACCTCTCTTGAACTCACTCATAGGCCACCTCGAGTAGGTACGGATGTGCCCGGTACGAACCTCTACCTACCTTTATGCAGCGGGACTTACTTGTGCGCTTAATCCACTGCACCGTTCATAATTTCCACATAAGTATTCTTCAATTGCGGAGAGAGTTTGCACTTTTCAAGCCCCGTCGATTGCTTTTCGTACATATTCCGCTTGGACTGCCTTGTTGTCTACCTTGTTTGCACCTTCATCTACAATTACATACCAATGGCCAATCACACTCTCCGATAAATGCTTCGATACACATTACATAAAATGGCAAAGAAAGATTCACTGTCCCGTCTCTACACAGCAACCAGCCACCAAGAGGTCAGCCCGCCGCCATTGAAACGAAGAAGACTGACGCAAACACCAAGCCTAGCATTGGATAAACCCCGTGCCTCGTCCACACTTCAAACGGCCGACCAGCCCAGAAGCTCTTCTCCAAGCAAGGATGCGTTCCGTGTGTTTTCGTGGAACATCAACGGCATCAACGCCTTTTTGTCGTCCACTCACTCCGCCCGAAAGATCACATCCTACTTCACAGAATCCACCAAGACGCAAAAGAGCGGGACCTCGAGTATCGATGCACCGCCAAACGCCAATCGACTGCGCACACCTCCTGGACAAGCACTGTCAAGCTCGACACACTCGCTGCGAGCCTTCCTTGCCCGCCATAACTGGCCTGAAATTCTCTTCCTCCAGGAGCTCAAGATCAAGCCGCAAGACGGACCGGCTCGTCTGCCAAAGATACTTTCTGCTCTCAATACCCCGCTCAATGCTGCTGACAGTGTATCCGACCATCGTACCTACACTTTCAATGCAGTGCTTCCACGCGATAAGCATAATGCCAAAGCCTTCGGAGGAAAGTTGTACGGTGTGGGAACAATAATGCGAACAGACTTTGCTCGCAAATGGGTTGCTACTGTGCGGGAGGTTGACTGGGATATCGAGGGAAGAGTCAGCGTCGTTGAGATGAGAGGGGCGCCGGAAGGGCAAGATGAGAATGAGCCAGTCACGAAACCTCTTGCTCTCATCAATGTCTATGCCGTCAACGGCACAACGCAACCGTACCGTAACCCACTGACCGGCGCCGTCCATCCCAACTGCCCGACTCGCCATGACCGAAAGCTCGTCTTCCATTCCCTACTCCGGGACGAGTGCCTTTCCCTGGAAGCACGAGGATTCTCTGTGGCCGTTGCAGGCGACATGAACATAGCCAGAGGACCTGCCGACGGACACCCCAACCTACGAACCTTCCCAGAACAACATTGCGTTAACAGGGTGGATTTCAACACCAAGTTCTTCGGCGAGGAAGACAACAAGCGAGCTGGAGCCTACGTTGGAACACAAGACGAAAAAACCGAAAAGTGTCTTGATGCCGTGGATGTGTTTCGGGCAAAATATGGCATGGAGAAAAGATACACATATTACCCCAACCGCGGGGAGTGGGGGAGCAGTTGCGATAGGGTCGATATGGTGTTTGTTTCCAAGGAGGTGTGGGGTGACGGGCGTGTGATTGATACGGGAATACTCGATACGCCTCAGGAGCGCAGTCCGAGTGATCACGTACCGTTCTGGGTCAAGATCGCTTTGTGATGGCACTAGCTGAGGCACAGAGGGCCTGGTGTGAAGTCCCACTTATCCCTTGCTGTTTCCATTTTCTTATAATCTCTGACCATCCCCCTAGGAGGTTTTTGCGGCCGTACATCTGATTCTTACAAGCTCCCAGCCCTCGATTTTGAACCCCCTGAGTGTCAGACCCTTGAACCCCACAAGAGTAAACAAAGGTTGTCGAGATCCACAGCCACGCGAGTCAGAAAATGGAACCCTGAACAGCCCGCGCAGTCCCACACCTAATCCACACCATTTGATAAACCCTAAATCCTCGAACTATGTTCAACAAAGCGTGGAATTCCATACGGATCGGGTATGGTGTAGCGGTAACATCGTTGACTCTCACTTCTTCAGGAGTGACTGCTTTCTCAACAGCCCCGGGTTCGACTCCCGGTATCCGAGTGATAAAACGATTCAAGTGATCCGGTTCTCCGCGCTTTCTTTTTTTTCATTCATTTTTAATTTTTTTCCCTTTTCATCTCCAGATTCTTTCCCCCCTTCTTTCATTTCTTCACTTTTCTTGTTTTGCGATTTTGCACTCAGCTTCTCAATTTACCTTTTTTCTGACTTCTATGATCCTTTAGTTGAGTCGCGGACCATCCTATGGAGTCCATCGTCTCAAGTTAATAATGGTTTATAGTGTGGATGTTACCATGTGTACTATGTGTGAATCAAGGTAAACAAAGATGTGGTGTGTCTTTTCATTGCCATGTCCTTTCATCATCGTGTTGTCTACATAAACCCACTTTCGTTGATAACAACAAAATTCACCACAGGCTTCCTTCAGCTTGGAAGCGACGGCCGTGGCGATATGGCTTATGCTCTCGAAAGACAAGGAAATTCCAATTTTAAACCACTCCATGTCCTCATCAAATAAATTCCTTCCACTAACCAACCAACCACCCAACCAACTTAAAAACCACCCTCCGGCATGGCTGCTACGTCGCGGTAGAGGAGAGGCAGCCAACTCTTTCCAACATCGTCAATATCCTCTCAAAACCTTTGCTCTCCGCCAACTCCCTGAACGACGTTGCCTCCCCATGAATATAACACGTCGCATCCACCAACTCCTGCAGTGTCTCTTTGTTCTTGGCATCCAACAGGATCTGACAAATCTCCATGGCGACGGCTATATTATCCCTCACACATAACCCCTCGTCAGCATTCATCATCTAGCTGCCAAACCCGCGCATCCTGAGGTGCCTGGACCACAAACAAAAAAGACAAGAAAACATACCTTCCTCCCCTTCATCAATACAATAAAACAAGACATTCCTTTGTTTCTGTCCTTCGTCCTGCCACAAGAGCATAGTGGGAACGTCGAGGTTGATGGCGTCCGAGGTTAGGCTGAGGGTACCCCAGACTTCGTCGTACGAGGGCGAACCGAGGAGGGTTTTGCGCATGATGCAGATACCGTCGATTTGGTAAGTTGTGAGAGTCCCTTCGGGGGGTGGGACGATGTCTGCTGAGGTTGTCATTTTGTTTCTCTTTTCTTTCTGTTTTCCCCTTCGTGCTTTCGGGGCTATACAGGCGTTGTGCTTGGAGTTTGTTTGAATGTGTGTGTGTGTGTGTGTGTGTGTACGTGTGGTGAGTTTAAGAGAGAGAGAGAGAGAGAGAGAGAGAGAAAATAAAGGGAGTGAGTGGGAGAGGAAAAGCGCGTTTATACCTTGCCTACCTTGTGTGTCTGTTGTTGTTGGTCAACAATACCAAGGAATGAGACTGGATGACTCCAGTCAGTCCATGACTCTCTCCTAAGCAAACCAGAATCTTTCCTGTTTGTTGTGCTTGTCTAGTTGGAGCATGCGATCAGATGGAAAAAACTGTGAGCAAGCAAACGTGAGAGGTCCTCTTTTTCGGTGTGTGAATAACAAAGGATTGTAGGAGGAAAGGGAAGTATCGGCATGCTTCTTGGGCAATCTTGACAACGAGATGAAACCTAGGGAAAAGACCAGTGACGAATATCATGATCAGGGCATGTCTAGACATATGAGCAAAGGGCAGTAACCGCTATGGACAAAGGGAAACAAAAATACAATAGGCTTGTCACAAGTGACCAACCGGAACACTTATTGTGAATGAGGTGCTGAGAACAACAGGAAGCTGTGACAATGGATGAGACCTGCAGTTTAGTACAAGTCATTCACTGCATGACCTCTCACTTTCGTCTTTTGTCAAGATGAACAACAAAGAAGAAGGATGAGATGTGATCCTGATATCATTGCATGAGCCATGATAAGAAGACCCCGGAAGTTTTCCGACGTCAAAAGAAGAATGGTTCATAAGACCAGTGACCAGGATTCTCGGGCCGTTCCGAACCAGTTCCCGATTACGAGCCCGAGCTGGAGGGGTTACGTCTCCGGATACAGGTGTAGAACGGCGAACGAACTGGCCATGACAACGTTTCGAGTGAGGATTTCAGACGCTATGTTCTTCAGATGATATTTGGGGGAAGTACAGCCCGCAAAGATGCCACTTTATGTTCCTGGCCTGGCGAGCATCGGTGCGCAAACCCCGGGCATAACAGCCCAAATTCTGGATGACATTTGGGCAGATTTTCTTCGCAGTGGGTGTCAAAATCCAGATTCAACATCAGATCACCCGTAAAGGCTGATTGGAGGTGGTGTCTTCGAAATGGACGACCCAGTGTAATTGAAGTGAAGCGTTGAGGCTCTGAAAGTGTGCGTTTCCGACTGTGATAGGGGCGCTGCCCAAAATGGCCAGAAACAAAACAGTCTTGGCACTGGGCCAGGGCATTGCATTACATAAGCGAGCTTTGCGGGTGCGAGGACCCACCTCTGGCGCTAGGCTGTTTCTAGCTCGCGCGGCATTGCTCAAAGTGCTTGTCGCGTTTTTGACTGCAGGCGATCGCAAGGTGCGCCCACCCACCCAAATTCACCACCCACTTTCACGGGCAACCACCAATTCTCGATAGCGTCCAGTCCACGTCTGCATGACGTCCTCCGACTTCTTCGAGATCCCTTGAGAAACCCGAGATTTGGACTGACTTGATTCGAAGTCGCCGAATACTGCGCCTTGAATTGCTACGAGGAACCACTACTAACTAGTTTGCTGTACCATCAAACAGCTTGCGCTTCCGCTCGCAAACAAGAAGAGGAAGACATCCCTCGGAATCAACCTCGAACGCAGCTTCGTCCAACCTGCATCGCCGAACTCCGCATCATCGCCCTCCCTCGCGTCCACTTGCGACTTCGACTTCAGGTTCCGATTTGCGACCACCAATCGGCAGCGTTAGGAGACCCAAGTACTGGGCCTCTCTTCTTTTCCATCCAAGTCTCCCGGCCGTCATGAGATTACCATAGTCGTCGAAAATCATAAAAACAGCCACACGAAACCACCTTTTACAATGGCGCGCTCCGAATCCCAACAATCCGTTTTTTCCTCTTATGCGCCAAGGTTACGCACCTACAACAACTCCCTCCTAACACCCGTCCTTCCCGGCACTGCTCCCGCGAACCCACTTTCGCGCACAACGAAGCGCGGCACTACCATCATCAACTATGCCGAGGATGGCTACGACGATTACGACGATGACGACGACAATACCCGCAGCCGCCGCCGCCCTACGGGTCTCCGCAGCGTACAGCCCGACGACGGTACTGTCAAGGCCGACCCGGCCGAGAAGGTTGGCAAGGATACACATGAGCCCGTGGAGGTACAGGGCATTTGGCGGGACTGGATGGGAAGGTTTCGCCAGGGTCGATCCGACCAACAGAACTTTGCCCAAGCCAGCCTTCCTCTCACACTGATCCCCATACGGATTGACCTCGATATCCCATCCTACATTCCGCCCCCGTCTCTGCCTCCGCATGCTGCAAGCCTGGACCCCAGCAATCCCCTCTTCAAGCCACAGGAGCCCACCGTCCCATACCGGTTACGCGACACGTTTCTCTGGAACCTGCACGAAACTTTGATTACTACCGATCAGTTTGCGACTGTCCTGGTCCAGGATTTAGATCTTCCTAACAGGAATCAGACCATATCCGAGATCAGCAAGCAAATAAGGACACAATTAGAAGAGTACGCCGGTGTTGCTCTCCATCCTCTCTTCCACTCCCACCGCGACCGTCCAGCAACCGAGGCTCCCAAGCCCACGAACCTGCTCGAAGCCGCGACCTCAACTCCCAATACCCCAGCAATCAACGGCAACGCCGTATCGACACCAACACCCGCCGTCAATGGCACTTCAGCAGTCCAAACATCCACCGGCGAAATTAGCGCCGCCGCAACCCCGATCCCTCCAGACGCCGATGACTTCAGCCCCGACGACACGTACCGATGCATCATTAACCTCAACATCAACCTCTCTTCGCAAGTCTATACCGACAAGTTTGAGTGGTCACTCCTCCATCCTCCAGGCACCGCCGAGGCTTTCGCCAAGCAAACCTGCGCCGACCTCGGCCTACACGGCGAGTGGGTACCCGCCATGACGCACGCCATCTACGAGGCGGTACTCAAGCTCAAGAAGGAAGCATGCGAGTCCGGCGGCCTGGTAGCCGGCTGGGGCACCACCTCACTGGGTGTCGGTGGCGTCGAGTTCCCCAACGACGCGGCCGTCACGGCGGGCGGTGAAGGCGCCGGCTGGCGATACGACCCCGAGCATCTGGCGGAGGACTGGGAGCCCAAGCTGGAGACGCTGTCGAAGGAGGAAATCGAGAAGCGCGAGGGCGATCGCGAGAGGCAGATCCGCAGACTGCGCAGAGAGACGGCGAGGTTCAGCAGCAATACCGGCATGGCGGGCGGCGTGCCCGTGGGCTTCGGATTCGGCGGGCTTATTGAGCAGGAAGAGGAGCGCATGGGACGCGGGGAGAGGAGCAAGAAGAAGAGAAGGTTTAGAAGTTTGTCGCCTACTAGCGGTAGGCACACCCCGGATGTTGGAGGCGGAGGCGGCGGTGGTGGCGGTGGTGGTGGTGGTGGTGGGTATGGGGGTGGTGGAACGCTGGCGGATAACGAACGGAACAACTGGAGGTGCTCTTGCTGTAGGGTGTGGGGCACCAGTGTTTGGGCGGTTCGGGATGGGCCTTATGGACCGAGGGTGAGTGATCTGTTTTACTGTCTATGTCGTGAAAGAGTGATGATGCTAACGAGTCGGTGTTATAGTCGCTCTGCAATAACTGCGGCTTCATTTACGAGCGGGATAGGAAACTGCCGAGATGGGCTAGAAACCTGCACGCCACTGATCCCAAGCCTCTGTGAGGATAGCATGTCTGAAGGCTGGAAAAGTTGGGCGCAAGAAGCCATTGTTTGAGGATGGCATGTCGAAGATGGAAGGTCCTATGGTTCCAAGACGATTTGGAGACAATGTGCATTGTATCCAAGCTATCTGTCTGACATGGACGGTGGAGCTTATTCAAAGTTAGGTGTAGGGGTGTAGAAAAGGAAAGGAAAATCCCAAGCAGAGGAACCGGCGTCAGGCGAGGTTAGGATAGGGTAGGAGATGGTTCAGTTGTTTTAGCTTTGTGTATTAGCTTTATACCAGTTTTGTGCTCCAGCAGTTTGTTTTCTTGTAGCTCCCGCAAGCTCTGGCTTATGTATTACTTGTCTTTTACGCCATTCTTAACCCAAGAACAACCGGTGTCGTGAAAGGTAGCAGGGGCCATGTCATGGCCATGATCGCACGAAATCATGAAAGTGCAAGGTGATAAAAAGCCAAATTTGACTGTGAATCAATATACCCTCTTCAGAGCAGAGGTAGGCAACATCAAGGTGCATTGCCATCCAATTTTAAACCAGTAAACACCAAATTCCTCATTTCAGGCGATCCGATCTCCCATTCAAGATCTCCCATCTGTCAGCGCAACCGCCAGTTGACCTAAGCAGCCCAGCCCGTCACTTAGCGACCCATTAGAAACGGCGAGACTCAACAAATGATCGACAAACTTCAAGAGGGGACAAAATGGGAAGAAAATATTAAATGAAACGTGACAGCCAGCCATCAAGGAAACATTTTGAAGTTGACGATGAATTTTTGCCCCCGCCCCAAGAAAAAAAAAGTCAAAAAGAGTGGACAATACCGGATTCGAACCGGTGACCTTTCACAAAGGTGCATCGAAAGCCAACAATGCGAAGCGAAAATCATACCCCTAGACCAATTGCCCATTATTACTTCATTTCGATATACTTTTCAAATCCGGTCCTTATATATGTCATTGTAAAAACTTGACACATCGCAGCAACTGCACCGCTTCCGTTACTGGTTTACCATTTCGGACTCCCCCTCCTCTCTCCCGTCTGTTGCGAGAAAAAAAATGATGGAACACTTAATTCGCTATTTGGTCAGGCAGTGCCGAGGTTAGCACTTTCAATCATTGAATGGGAAGGATATGTAGGGGGATGATCAAGATGATGATTTGGTTGAGATGAGGGTCGATAAAGGGATGGAGTGAAGCTATCCACGAAGATGAAAGCGGTCATCCGTCCGTGTGGTTGTTGTGGTTCTTGTTCTTGTTGTTGGATTACAGTTTAGAGTAATGGTCACGGTGGCTAATGTGTGATCAATTGCTTTTCCATTTCGGGTTTGTTACTAGTATGGTATGAAGGATCGGACGGATGAAGTGGAAAGATATTTTCGTATTTAGGGTATCTAACTCACGAGCAACAAAGACATCGGGTACCGTCAATCCGTGGGCAAGCGAATTGGACTGGGTACCTCATACTATCTTGACATTGAGACTTTACAACAGCGTATCAGATCCTACGATGAAGTCCTTTGGAGGAATTGTTCAACGTTCCAGCCCAATTGTGATGCTACTATCTGTCGACTGCATGTTCTCGCAATGGGTGATGGCGACTTGCAAATGGGAATGGGAAGGACAAAAGCGCTTCCACTTCGCACCCCATGATGGATGAAGGAAGAAGGGATGGCATGTACCTTGTGCTATTTCTGTGTGCTATTTCTGTACGTATACATAGTTCCCGACACTCTGGAGAGGAGTGCGATTTGCTCGAACCCTTCATGACCAGCATCAACCGAAATTGCTGCGATGATGGATCAAAACGGCAAGTCAAAAGTGAAGGCGTCGCCACATCGTCTTGGCAGGCAATGAATGATTCGAGACCGATGAGATAGGGTTGTTTGCTCGAGTCATGTGCTCAAGGTTGGAGGATATTTCTATATCCTGCATCTGCTGCATTTGGTCGGGTTACCCATTGAAGGAGAATCACGCCCGGTCGCCCGAGGTCTTTGTCACCTTCCTAAAACTGTCGTGACTGCAACCCCGTGAGGGCGCCGATTAATGAGGTCAGTTCTTGGCGGCATTGCAACATGGAAGATGTGGTGGCGGCTTCTCACGTATTCCGTACATATCATTCAGTTGTTTGTGATACCTTTTGATCAAAAAAAGGAAAGAAGAAGAAGAAAAAACCGAAAAAAGAAGATGCCCATTGCGATACATTTGTGGGAAATGAGGGTGCGCACGAGGTTGTGCAGTGGCGGTTTTCTCCTGATTATCCGATTCCCCTATCACGACCGTTGGTGGCTTCCCGTCCTCATCCCGTGTAAGTCGAACCCCTGTCTCTCCAGAACCTTATCTCTATTTGTGGCCAAGGACCCCTAGGTGCTGTGGCCCTCTATTTTAGCCACGACTTCGCTGATACCCTTGGCGGCGGATCATGACTACATATATTCAGTTCAGCAACCTTTGCCCACGCGAGCGGGTAGGAACTCATCAGTACTTCAATCCGGGGAAAGACTCGTGGGAAGATAAGACTGCGCCTTTGATTCGCATCATGATGAACAGCCAAGACGAGAGCGCGTCGTTGTGGTTTGGTGGCCCGATCAATGTTCAAGCTGGTGCAACCCCATAGTCTTGGTTGCTATCGCAGTTATCGACTAGCATCCAATAACCAACATCAAAAGCAAAAGAGCCAAGGTACGCCAAGGGACCGAGAGACACCAACGACGAGAAACAGACCGTAACCTCCTCCCCGCTTGGGTCCTGATATCGTCTTTGTCGTTGGGGGCTAGATGCGCTGAAGAAGACTTAATGCGAGCTAGTTCGGATACAAGTTGGGGACGAAGGTCTGGGTCAGTTGTTTGTCGATATCAAAGGCGGCTGGGCATTTTTGGTTCAGGTAGGTCCAAGACTCCAAGGTGATGATCCGCCATGGCATGCGGTCTTGGCCACGTCCAAGCTGAAATGGCTCCATTTAGACCTTTGTCTTGGCTCCTTCAGGTTGCGGACAGCGCCCCCATGTCGGGGCCCTTGTTTGGTTCGGGTACTCTTATGCAAGTGCAGGCTGCGTGTCGCCGAATCAACGAGGGTGAGAAGTTAAACAATATGTCGTGATACCTTTTATATCTGGCGAGTACGCGATTGGTGGTTTCACTGGCGGCAAAATCCATCAGAATTGATGTTGCCTTCCATGTCTGCTTGGCCTATCAAGCAATGAAAAGGAGTGAATGGATGGAAGGAAATGCAAGGGAGAAAGCGACACCTCGGTCTTGATCGAGATCTCCAGGTGGTCTGGAAGCTAAGAAGTTGGCGTCTGCAGAGGAAAGATCTTCTGGCACCAATATTCCCGCCTCATGAGACTGGACAAGAATCCCACGTCGTTCCTTCCAAACCTAAACAATGAATCCCAGGTACGCAAGTGCAGACCGACCCTACAAGGCAACGTAGTGACGGGAGGACGCCAATGTTCTCCTGAACCACCAGAATATTTGTCCGGACATTGTCACTCCTGAACTGCAGTTTGGTCTAGGCCATCGAGCTAAATTACCTCTACCTAGCTGCCCTTCTCTGTTGAGAATTAGACATCGGGTAAGTTGTGAGCGCTTCTTTTGCAACGTCTTTTCCTCTTCGTGTGACACTTTGGTCTTTTGCACCCTTCAATGCTCTTTCCCCCGCTTCCCCAACATCTTTCACTAAAGTGAACTCAACCTCTTGGCGGGGATCCAGAAGTGGAAGTTGCGAGTGAAGAGCAATGATGTTGAACACGGAACTCCGCTCTTGCGACTGAAGAATTTGAAGTGTGTCTGGTTGCGGAGTGTCTTCCGTCAAAGCTTGGACATCCCCACAGCTCCAAGAGCTCATGCAGTCCCGTCAAGTCGCAGAGCATACCACTACCTCCGTCTACTGAACACATTCTCCCGTCATCTTTGCACTGCACTCTTCGCTTTTATCCTTGCAGCTTCCATTTCCTCTGGCTTGTCACGGTATCTCCACAAAAATCGATCCGGACAATGGGTAGCTAATGTCAGGCAGGCCATTGACAATTATCTCGCTCCCTTACCACCGACCGTGTGAGTGCGAGAACCATGTTTCCAAGACGGCCCTCCCAGCCGCCACCCCACCATGTCAATCCGAGGTCTTATCCTTTTGTCACTGTCTGGGCGTCCATCACTGTGAGCCAAGATGCAGCGCCCAGACGGGCTGATTGCCGCAAGGGTTGACAAGCATGGGATGCCTCCTCCAAAAGTTCAACAGCTACCATAGCTCACGTTATCTTCCTCATTCAGAAGTATCTTGTTCATACATTCTCTTGGCCCGCCCGTCTTGGAAGGTCATTATCACTGGGCACTCACACCATTTGTAGAGAGGCAAGGCCAAGATAAGCCAGTCGGGAGTCTTGCAGCATACAGGAGTACAGCTTCATGTAGGTGCTGTGAGGTTGAGGCATGTGGCGTGCTTCCTCAAGGGGTTTGTGATACCACGTATAGAAAGGAAGATATTAACCTCTTTCCCCCCTCGTCTGTGACATGCAGCCATCCTTCACGTCTTGAGGACCGCCTATCCATACCACATCTTTCAGCAGTACAGCAGCCTCATCGGCGTGTATACCGCACGTCATGGCGACCACCAGAGATGAGAAGGCAGTAAACATCACCCCTGCTGGGAGTGATCAAGCTCCTGCTTCCCCGACAAAGTATAACGAGAAGATCGACGGCATTCATGAAGTCGGTCTTGACCGTATGGACTCAGAGGAAGCACAAGTTCTTGAAGGGTAGGTTGAGTCTCTTCATCTCCCCTTGGACCCGTACCAGAGATTGACTATACAGACATCTTGATGTTACCGAAGAGGACCTCCTCCAAGCCAAGGCCGCGGCCGAGACCCTCAGTCTCGAAGAGGTTGTCAAGTTGATGAAGAATGTAGTCAGCATGCATGGACGCGATCCAAACTTTCCGCACGTGGTTCTTGAAAAGATCCAGGAATTCCTAGGTGAGTGTCTCCTTGTGTAGTCCATAGCCAAGCCGTCCTCTGCTCTGGACTGGTCTGACGCGTCCACAACACAGCCAACGAGCAAAACATTCTCTCGAATCCGGAAAAGTACGATGATATCATCACCGAGATGAAGATTGAAGCTGCTCTCATCCAGAGCAACAGTCCCTACGCCGAAGTGCGCGCCGTTGTCGACAATACCGATGACCCTTCCACACCGTGCTCAACCATTCGTTCGTGGACCATTGGCATCTTGTTCTCTGTCATCCTAGCCTTTGTCAACCAGGTAGGTGCCAATTTCTTCTTTCGAGACCCCGCATGGTTTCTCATGGCTGACCATCATCGCAGCTCTTCAGTGTGCGCCAGCCCAGCATTTCGATCGAATCCAACGTTGCTCAGCTCCTTGCTTTTCCTCTCGGCAAAGCCTGGGAGATGTGGATGCCGTATTACGAGTTCACTCTCTTTGGAACCAAGCATAATCTCAACCCGGGGCGGTTCAGCAAGAAGGAACACATGTTGATCGCCATCATGGCAAACACAGCCAAGTCGCTGCCCTACACGCAGTACATTGTGTGGACTCAGGTGCTGCCGCAATACTTTAACCAACCATATGCGAACAGTTTTGCGTACCAGATTCTGATTGCGTTGAGCACCAACTTCATCGGCTATGGCCTTGCTGGTGAGTGATGGTCTTCCTTATGCGAGATGCCAAAGGGCTCGAGTGACTGACAATAAAAATAGGTATCACTCGCCGGTTCATCGTCTATCCATCTTACTGCGTCTGGCCCGCATCTTTGGTTACCATCGCCCTCAACTCGGCTCTGCACCACGAGGAGAACCACATAGTTCCTGGCCCGTTCAAGAAGCTGTACAGAATGTCGCGCTTCAAGTTCTTCATGTGGGCTTTCGGCGCAATGTTCGTGTACTTCTGGTTCCCCAACTATCTCTTTGAGGCCTTGACATTCTTTTCTTGGATGCAGTGGATTGCTCCCAACGTAAGACTGACCCACTTGCTCCTGTGGCGAGAAGTTGAACTGACTTTGGCAGAATCTGAACCTGAGCATTCTCACTGGATTCCAAAACGGCACTGGCGTGAGTACTTCCTCCCGCCTTCAGCAATGAATATTGCCGCAGTGTCTTGATACTGACTGCGCGTAGATGTTCAACCCCTTCCCCACATTCGACTGGAACGTTTTGCTTTTCGACTCCGTTGACCCTCTCGTAAGTCTTCTTGCAATTCCTATTGTTCGGAGCCATACTAACCACTGCCAGATGGTGCCTGCTTTCACCACGTTCAACAAAACCTTCGGCATGGCGTTTTTTGGCTTCATCATCCTGGGAATTTGGTACACTAATGTTTGGAATACCGGCTACCTCCCAATCAACAGCAACCGTGTGTTTGACCACTACGGTAGTCTGTACAACGTCTCGCGAGCCATTGACGAGAAGGGCATGTTCGACGAGGCGAAGTACATGGATTACAGCGCCGCATATCTTTCAGCAGCCAACGCCATTGTGTATTTCGCTTTCTTCGCCATCTATGCGGCCACCATCAGCCATATCATCCTTTTCCATCGGGCCGAGATTGCCATTGGCTTCAGGAACATCTGGAAAACTGTGAAGCCAAAGAGATGGACAAAGAGAAGCGCTGCCGGAGAGAGTGTCGAGGAAGAGGATGTTGGGTACAAGGACGTGCATAACCGTTTGATGGCTGTTTATCCCGAAGGTGAGGACCCATTCCTGAAAAGAGGACGAGAAAAGGTTACTGACAAGAACCCACAACAGTTTCGGAACTGTGGTACTTGGGCTGCCTCGTGATTGCCATGGCACTTGGCTTTGCTGGTGTTGCCGCCTGGCCCACGTATACCACTGCTGGTGTCGTTCCCTACGGCCTCTTCCTTGCTATAATTTTCGTCATCCCTATTGGCATCATTAAGGCTATGACGGGTATCGAAGTCACCCTGAACGTGTTGGCCGAGTTCATCGGTGGTGCTTGGGTTGAGGGTAACGCCTTGGCCATGAACTTTTTCAAATCCTTTGGGTAAGTCGTGTCCCTACAATTTTCCCGTTATCATCTTTCAAAAGGCTAACCCTCCACAGATATGTGACCTGCGCGCATGCCATCAGCTTCGCCAACGACCTCAAGCTCGCTCACTACATCAAGATTCCTCCTCGCCACACTTTCACAGCCCAGATGGTGGCCACGCTCATTTCCACTTTCATCTGTACCGGTGTGCTCAACTTCCAAGTCAACATTGAGAACATTTGCCAGACCAACGCGCCCATGCGTTTCTTCTGCCCCGGCATCAACACCTTCTTTACTGCCGCCGTCTTGTGGGGAACCATTGGTCCCGTCAAGGTGTTTGGAATTCACGGCCAGTACAAGTGGCTCCTTCTGGGCTTCCCCATCGGTCTCTGCATTCCCGTCATCTTTTGGCTCATCATCCGCAAGTTCCCGCGCAACAAGTTCATTCGTCAATTCCACCCCGTGGCCTTGTTCTATGGCGCACTCAACTGGGCGCCGTACAGCATGAGCTACTGCTGGCCAGCGGTCCCCATTGCCTGGTTGAGCTGGATCTATGTGCGGAACAGATACCTGGCGTTCTGGTCCAAGTACAACTTTGTGTTGAGCGCCGCGTTTAGCGCGGGTATCGCGCTTAGCGGTATCGTGATGCTGTTCTCAGTGCAGTGGGCTAGAGTGAGTGTGGAGTGGTGGGGTAACACCCAGCCGTATAAGGGCTGTGAGGATACCGCTTGCACGATCAAGACGTTGTCCGAGGGAGAGAGGTTCTTTCCCTGGTGGGACGCGAACAAGGTGCCGGCCCCTTAAGCTGATGAAAAAGCTGTGATGTTGTAGATGGGGGGTTCGTAGCTTTTGCTAGCGGCGGATGTGGGAGGAAGGGGTTTTGGGCCTGGCTGGTTGTGTCTGGAGTTTGGTACGCGGAATGACTGATATTATGTTTTTGTTGATGATATCCAGCTGTGCTTTCGTTATCAGATTTATAGTGGTTGGTATACGGTAGCCTATACCTAGTCAATAATACTCGTTGTATTGTTGACATGACCCCCAGTTCCAGTACTGTTGTACCGGTGTCTGTGTATATGCAAAAGGAAGTGACAATATCCAAGGTAGGAAAACCAAGGGAAATAAAAAAAGAAGAAAAAACAACGCCCGCTTATAACTTCAGCACCACCCATACTTTTCATTAGCAACCCACTCGACATCCTCGGTCCGACCACCCTCCATGCCCTCAGCCCCATACCACATCAAGCTGGGAATGCTATCCATATCCCTCTCCACCATCTCGTACCCGCCCTCAATCCCGGCTTTCTCAACCAACCGACTCACCAACGGACTCGGATTCCACATCTGCACATCCTGCACCCTCCACTCCGCCGCCTCTCGTTGCGCCACAGCCAAAATCGCCCGGAATGCTTCCACCAGATATTTTTCTGTTTCTGGGTCCTCTGTCACTTTCTTGAGAGACTCCTCGTTCCCCAGATCCTCTACCCCTTCCATGACGAAACGGAGAATATGCATGTGATTCCCCTCGATACTCTCACTCTCCAAACCCCGGTAATAAGAGCGGGTCCAGACGGCCCAGACTCTTTGCCCATTCCTGTTAGGGCAGCTATAAATAGCCCCCCGCACGGAAGGGGTGCGCTGGAAAATGTGTTGCGTCATGAAATCTTCGCGGAGTAAATGCCAGAGGAGGCAGTCAAGGTCGGGAAGCAAGGCGACGTGGGTTTTGGAGGGGTTGGAGCGGGCAAGTCGGGGGAGGGTTTGGGTGAGGAGGTGGGTGGTGTCGAGGGTGCAGAGGGGAGGGAGGGTGTGGTAGCTTATGGGGGAGAGGTTGGGTGGGAAGGGAGGAGTAGCGGGGGAGAAGGGGGATGGCTTGGAGGAGGAGGATGAGGATGAGGAAGAGGATTTGATGGGTTTGAAAGATACGTGCGCTGAGGGAAAGGCCTTCCATCCGTTTTTGGCATAGAAGGATTTGCCTATGTCGGAGTAGAGGACTGAGAAGAGGGTTGTTGTTGCCTCTTCTTCTTTCCCTAGGGTTTTTCCGTCTTGGGCAAGGGGAGGAGACTCAGGCCGGTCTTTCTTATCCGTGACTTGCCAAGTGCGTAACCGCTTGCCTAATTCCTGCATCATCCTGTTGGCGTATCCCTTGCCGCGGTACTGAGGGTCGGTGAACACGGAGCCGATGCCGTGCGAGATGCCTTCGGTGAGAATGACGCGGTCGGAAGAAGGGTCGTAGCGAGCGGCGACGGCGTGTTTGCGGAGGGTTTCGCAGGAGGAGAGGATGGGTCGTTGGTTGCTGCTTTCTGCCTGAGGGGAGTTGCTGTCGGTCAGGATCCAGTGCGTCAGACCACCGTCTTTGGCGAGCGGGAGCGTCGTCATGAAGTGTTCACGCGCGAGGTACTCGGAGTGAGAGAGAGCGGGTCCCCACATGGGGTGGGTGAGAGACCATGTTTTGGGACGCTCGTCTTCGTGGGCGAGGGTGAGAGTGAGAGAGGGTGAGGAGGCTGAGGGGAGGGAGGTGGTGGGTGTTGTCGAGCCCATTTTTGGTTGTTGAAGTCGTGAAGGTGTTGGTTGGTCTGGGTACTGCTCCCTTTAGGATAGGATGTGCTTTTTTAATGTTGTTCAAGTTTGTCGAGCAGGTTGCCGTCAAGGTCCGCCATATGAAAATGAGGAACGGAACTGAGGTTGTCACGGGTTCCTGACTGAGTAGGTATGTCAAAGAATATGCCGGATGGTGATGCTTGGCGGACGAGGACAAAGAGGAGACCTAATCAAATTAACCTCCCGGAGAGAGATACACGAAGAAACAAACATATAAAAACAGGTAATCCCAAAGGGGAGGAGGGTATCAAGATAAATGTAAAAGTCCGGGGTCCAAAGTGGAAACACTTTTGTTTGGAAGCTTCCACGAGAAAAACGAAGGTGTGGGGTCTTTCTTTGGACAAGATCGATCGTTGGCATGGTGACCTCGAACTGTGAAGGGACGGGAATGACCCCAAGTGCAACCAAGCGGGTCCATTCCGCCGTGAGAGCCCCCAGTGAAACCCCTGTCGCAGCCCTAAAACCTGCCCCTACAGCAGGAACACTAACACGCTATTGGTCACTCGCCAGGTCACGATCGACTCTTCTCCGCAGTAGGCAGGTCCCTTGGCGGGCAGTCCACAGTGAGCTGAACCATCATGCCATGCCTACCAGTGCTGGTGCAATATGGTGTCCAGGGATCCCCTAACAGTGCGTTAACAGTGGGCTCGTACACAATTGGACAAATCCACGTATTCGCCAGCAAGCAGCGACATGGAAGCAAGAGGGCAGCGTCACATTCTAGAGATATGTACATAATGGCGGTAAGCAAAACATGTCGTAAAGCTGCACTTCTTTCGCCTAGTATCGGCTTTTTTTCTTTCTCAAGGGAGACAGTGACAGTTCCGACGCCCGGAATCCACTCCGGGGTGTACTCTGAACATCTCATGTGACCGACCATCTTAGGTAACAGCCTTCCTGCTGTGCAAGGGTGTTCGTCAATTGATCAATGGGGAGGCCTTCTGACACGGCATGACTGTGATTGTGCTCTGATTGCTTGTCCAATTGAGGCCTGGGTCTAGATTGTGGCATCAACTATGTGTCGCGATACTTGTGGTCGAGTTGAGGGACAGCGGCTGATGGGTGATAACGAGCAGATAAGGGAAACGGTGACGGTGGGCCTGTACGACCCACCTTTTTTTCAACGACATCTCATGGATAATGGTTATCTCCCTCCCGTCATGCCTTCCGTTGCTCCTCGGCTCACTTCACTTGGCCACATCATGAGCTTCCGTGGTGGTCGTGGCCGACCCTACTCCAAAACTTGAAGTTCTTTACTCATTACCATCAAGGCGGGGCATTTCTTCTCTTTCAAGGTCTTTCTTCTGAACTAGCATCGAACGAAGTCAACCACCACCATGCTTTCCCCTTGCGTTAAAATTTTTTTTCTTTTTTTTTTTTTTTCTTTTTTTCGCTTTCCACCGACGAACTGTCACAGTGAACCCGCTCTCCATGGTATTTCTTCGTCCTGATGTACTCAGTTTCAGCCCTCAAACTACTGCTCTAGAACCTTTTTTTCCTACTTACCGATCTCCGTGTTTCCCTCCTGTTCCCTCTCATTTGCTACCTCTAGCAAGACATGGACAGTATCTCCATGTCACGTAACATCCCTTCCGGGTTCACAACCCGGACTCGAAACGGCCGCGGGGAAATGATATCTGCATTTGTCTATCTCCACCTTCGTCAAACATAGTACCCGCCAGTACCTAGGCACCGGACCGCTTGTGGAGCCGGGCCGGTTGGTATGTCGGCCTGGGATCCCGATTCTTTTTTTTTTTTCAGAAGGAACGGAGTCAACGATCGTGGTGTTGCGTATGCCAATCTGCTAGGATGAAAATAATCCCAACCAAAGACTCGTCATAAAACCAAGCATTTGCGAATACTGACGCTATCAGAAAGTTGATTAGCCGTGCTCCAAGTAGCGGGCTTCTCAGTTCAATTTGCTGGCTGCCTGCGGTTACATATGCGCATGCTTGTGCCTGGTTTGGTGGTGCTTGTCGAGATGGGTGGAAAAGACAACTTCTTGGCATCATGGCCAGCCTGTTGATTGATGGTCCAGTGGCCAAATTTTTCGTTCTTTCTAAGCGCAAAATGGCAGACGATGTGCTATTTCTCAAATTTTGAACATCCTCATTTCAGTGTCACTAGTTTTAGGCGACTGTTGATGCTCAAACTTGCACAAATTGCGAGTGTCCTCTGCGTCACGAACCTTGACCACTTGGACAAACTGTCATGCTTCAGTTCCTAGGGAGTTCCAGGTATGACTGTATGACTGGCGTCACCGTTAAAGTTGTTTGGCTCTTAATTAGGGACTCCAGATCCAGGTTTAAGCCTCGAGTGGTCATATGTATAAAAACCCGTCCTCCCATTCACCTATCCCAAGATGCTGGAGATTCTCTCTTCTTCCACTCAACGTCAACAGTTCTGATTGCCTTTGCGATAGTAAACCTTGGCTCCCAAGAACCTTTGGACAGCGCTGGCATATTTCCATCCCAATGCCACGAAGGTGTTGTTGCTATAGTGACGGGCCACTGGCCCGAACTCCGTTACCATATCGTCATCTCCGAGCTGCGGTAGCGTATATCTCTTTCCTCCTCACTGGTTTAACTCGTGTCTCGTCTAGCTTAGAAGACGTTGATACAATCGTTACATTTGCTACAGCTGCTGGTCTATGAGCTTATTTTCTTTGTCTATGTTATCTCTGCTTCAGTGGCAGCTTGGAGTCATAAAAAGTTGTCCCTGGTTGATGTCGCGAACTGTCTCTGGTGAAGGTGCCAACCCAGGCTCGCATTAGCTCAAGGTTTCGTCAACGTCCAGGCCCCTTCACTCGCGTAGCATTTGGCGTCCTATCATATATTCTGTGGCTCAACGGCCATTCACCGTACACTACCAGCGGTGACCCAGGCCAAACCTGAGGCTGTCATGGCCAAGCTTTTAGGTGGAGGGTTCCAGGCTCAGGGTGGATTAAGCCCTTATAAATATCTCTTGTATCCATGAACTTTCTTCCAGTTTGTCCTTCTTCCTCCATCGAACATCAATCTCGCAATTTCGGTCAACTCATCAACCTCAGTCACTCGTCGCAAGCTAGCTACTACCGAGCTACGCCATTGCAACTTGATCGTCAACTCAATTATTCTCCTTCCATCGCCCAATTCCACAACAAGACCACCATGTCGTCACACAATGCCGTCAACCAGACCACCGCCAACCGTTACGAGATATCGGTCTGGCACGAGATAAAGGATTACATAGATGCTTCGTTGTCTCCCACCACCGAATGTTCTCCTAGTCCCATCCCCTTTGCCCTTTGTCCACTTTGCCGCGAGGAGCTTGACATACAGGGCATTCCCCCCACCAGTAAGACCGTGGTCAGGCACCCAGGATGCGTCCTACCTTGTGGGCATTTCTTTGGAATAACATGCTGGAAGGCTTGGGTGCGTGATTACCAGGCCGAACCCACGAAGCATTACATTGGGCCCAACAACCCAATTCCTGTTGCCGGCATTCGAGGTACGTTTAATCCTGTTGGGTTTCCTCTTCTCTAGTTTTCTTTTCATTTCCTCTTGTTGGTGGTGAGAACTGAGCTTGGATCTAACATTTTCCTTTCCTAATTCACACAGAGGGTCGCCGTCTCACGACAATGGATCTGGCGGAATGCCACAAGTACGGCCAATCAAAGCCGTACCGCAAATTTGAATGCCCCGTCTGTCGTACCGATCTTCACTACACCGGATGCTGCTGTGAAGTCCGGCCTGCTATTATCCCTACCAACAAGTCCACATGTTCTATTGCCTGTCTTCTCGCGCTTCCGAAAACCTTTTTGGAGGTTTCCAGGGATGCACCTACTGCTCGCCTCGACCAGGACACGACTGTGGACGGGACGGACGTCAGACAAGATACAACGGACGCCAGCCAGGACTCTTCAGACGAAGAGAAGGACTGTTCGGACAGCGATGAGAACGTCGCCGACAAGGTGAACGACATGGAGGACGACGAGATCATCGCCAATTACCGTCATAACATCACACCTGCGGCCAACAACGACAACTACATCGAGAGAAAGACCGCCGGCTCTCCTCGGTTCAGCCAGCAAGGGCCTAACGGAGCCATCCGCATTCTCACCCCTCGGCCCGTCATATACGACATCAACTCAATCCGTCAACCTGGCTTCTACCCGGTTATGCGCCTTCGCGCTCAGTACCCCGACCTGAACAACCCCAAGGGCTGGGACTGCCGCATTGTAGGCGGCCGTCTCTCCGATGTCGTCGACCCCGTGTGCGGTCAACGCATGTACGACTTGACTCGATACCGCTGGCTGAAGAACAAATACGACGAAATTGAGCCACAATGGAGGGACTACGAGGCCCCAGGAGCCACCGTTCCTGCGAATCTGCCCGGCGCGGGCCTCAACCAATTTCCTGGTGTGTCCTGGAAGCTCGCCGTCTCGGCCGTCTACCTCTCTGCAGGGCAAGACGCCAACGGCGGTCTCAAGCTATCTGACATGGAAGGAATGGGGGAGTATCCCGACTGGGATGAGCGTCTCGAGCAGCCGGAATGGCAGGCTCGCGGGGTTAGCAAGATTCCCCGCGATCATTGGGGCCATGGCCCTAGACATGTCATGGGACGCTGGATGCCGGGACATGGCAAGATTATTTTCCAGACTGACAAGTTCAGCTATTGTGCTTTGCACTAGCTGAGGAGAACGAAGCTGGAGGAGATGCAGCCTGAAGAGACGAGCGGGTTTTGTGAAGGGTTTTGGAGGATAAGAGGATATGGGAGACCTAAGCATGGAGTGGACATGTAATGTACAATACTGGTTGTCTGACTCTGAGTAACACCACTCGAAGCCTTTCTAACTGCCTTGACTGACTAGGCCAGTGCATACTTGGGCTGCGCTCAGCTGAATCCGGCCGAGCCAACCCAGACACAGAACAGGGTAGTCAACTTGGTAGATAGTCGTCGCAAGATTGTCTGACGATCGCAGTAGAGAACATACACTCGGTAGAAGAGATACATCGAGACTAAAAACCCAAAACCCTCAAAAAACGTATTGCGCCTACATGTAGCCCCTCCAACTTGCTCAAATGATGGTGATGATAGTTATAATACGCAATGACATGATTGCCTGTATGTGGTTTTGAAGTTTCCTTCGACAGTCGATACAAGAATCGCAGCGGGATGGAAACGTCAGCCAGTTGAAGCTATACATAAACCACTCCAGAGCTGCCCTGTACGATCTCAGGTTCCGTGATATCTTGGTAGTGCCCGTTCTTGGGATTACTTTCCCAAACTGAAGGAGGTTGGTAACTTGCCGGTGGTTGATTTGCTAGCTATCAACATTTATGAAATCATGTATCTGGATGTGTCTTGACGTTCCGTGACTGTTTTGGGATGCCTCAGGAGTTAACTGACAATCCACAGCAATAGATTTGATGGATAGATAGTGTATATTTACCAGGCACTTTCGAGTCGAGGCTTGAACAGGAAGAAGCTTGAAGTGAAGATGGTGATTCACGGATGAAGTTGCATTATTGAAAGAAAGGAGGGGTAAACGCGTTATGCATCTGCAGCTGTCAAACAAACGCCAGCCAATCGGGGCGACAACCGACCACAAAAAGTCCAACAGCAGATATTCCTTCCTTCCTTCCTTCCTTCCTTCCTTCATCCTTCCTTCCATGTATGCGGGTGGGCAATAACATGATGAAATTGGAGGTTTCTCTTGTTAGTGCACGGCAACCTCAACCCAAGCATCTTCTTTCCCCTTGACAGCCTGTCCCATCATGATACCGTTCACGCAACAGTCGCCCACCCAAGTAACATGGTGCCGGTTTGGCCCTTCGCCTTCCTGATCCTCGGACTTCAAATGCTTAAGCACAACTGGGAGTCTGCACAATTCGAGAATCCAGACTTCATCGCCAGGCTCAGACGTCACGGGCCCGAACCCGGCCTTGGCTCCTTCGGTGACGAACAAAACATGGTGTTGGAGATATGTGGACGCCCAGCTGCCCTCGTCCCCGTCAAAGGGACAGGTTTGGCCTGGGTTTGCTGCGTCAAGCTTGCCCGTCACCACGCCGAGATACTCCTGCATCCAGCGACCACTCAACCACCGCCTGCGTGATTCCTCACTTGCCGACGAGAAATATTCATGGCATCGCCCCATAAGCTCCCCATATCGCGCAGCGCTCGCTGCCAGAACCTGGTCGTCCGGAACCCTTTGTCTCCCCAGAACTTCGCGCTGCTCCACCACCGCGATCCTGTCAACCAAGAACCCGTCCAATCCAAGTACCCGTCCACTTTCGTCCAAAAGCCTCGGACCGCCCCCCACCATAACAGGCCCATCAGCGCAGTAGTGATAGTAGAGTGGCTTATGGGCCCAATAATCGGCTTCTGGCACTTGGACAGGTACCTTGTGTTCTTCCGTATCGAAGTAGAAGAAGCCATCCGACCATCTGTCTTGCGACCAGTCTATCACCCACGACGGGAGGCCCTCCAACTTGGCCCCTTCTCCCCGTCGGCCCATGAGCGGTTCAAGACTGTTGGATTGCTTGACACCAGGGCGTTCTAAAGAGCTTGTAGAACGCTTCAGTCGCCCTCAGTCGCAACTCGCCATTCAGTCCCTCCTTTCCGTCATCTTCACCATCCTGAAACCAATCCGGCAGAGCCGCGTTAGGTACATCAATACCACCGAACCTGGCGTCCATCGCTTCGCCTGCCGCGCTGATCCAAACGATAGTGTCGAAAGCCGCTTGTGCGTCTTCCTCGGAGACACCTACATCTCGTGGATATCCTAGCCAGATATTACACTGCGTACATGAGGCGTAGATGCGGCGCATAAGATTGACTTGTTGGGTCTTTTCGACGTTGTCGGATTGATTGATGCAAACTGCGTCTATCCATATCGTCCTTATACGGTCGGGAAATCGAAGCCGCCGCAGCGCTCGTAGGAGGCTCGCTGAGACTGGGAAAGAGGTATGGTCGATGAGGATTTGAGGCGCCTCTGTTTCTGGGTCGCTGCCGGCATCTTGCCACGCATAAGACAAAGTCTCGTAAAAAGGTATTTGTTGCCCTTCGCTAGGCTTCAGACTAATGACGCGGTAACTGCATACTATCGGGGAAGATTGGTTTTCGGATGGAAAGATGTCGAGAAGTCGAATCTCATCAGCCGATGAATTGACCGGCGGACGAAGTATTTGATCCGGCGATGATTCCTCCGGAGTTTCCATGCCTGCTAATTATTCATGAGGATTTTGTGTGTTGTGTGGGATGACATATTGGTCAAACGATGGTTGAGCCCAACCTTGAGGCTTTTTGCCCCCACGAATTGATCATTTCACTGGGTCTCTATGCGTCAAGTCAGCCTAGAATCATCACCCTTTCCCCAGTTTGTCCTAGAGACGCAGTAGCGTGTGGAGGAGCAAGCGCTTATCACTGCCCCAAAAGTTGACCCATAGCATTGCTGATTTGCAATTGGCATGTCCTACATTGTCAGTTGCAAGCCCTCTTCATCACTGGGGACTGGCAGAAATGTGGCAAGTGGAAAACACAATCGATGTTCGAATGCCGGTAGGAGACGGGGCCATGATAAATACACCGGTACAGTACGGAGGAGTGGATCACCAAACTCGGAGGTCGGCCGGCATCCGGGTCTCTACGTGGGTGTCGGTCGGACCCGGTGATTATCTGCGGACGGACCAGCCAAACTGATTGATTTTACAGTTTCAGAAGCCAACATTGGGAAATCATCCCGAAGTACTCACCATAGCGGCTTTTCGGGAGCAGTTTCCTGGTATCTTCCCTTCTGTTAACCACTTTTTCTTATTGTTCACGTCAATACCAAGACTCTTGACGGGAACTTGATCCGATATGGACTACAACTGGACTATTCACCACGCATGTGAGTGCAACGTCGACGCTCTCCCCTCACCATCATTACGATGCGCATTCTCGACAATATGGTAGTTTCTCCAAACACACAATCCTTGAAACCCCCCCCCCCCCCCCCCCGGCGCGCTCTCGGTGTTATACCATTGGTGGGTCAATTCTTGTTGTAATTCCAGCAGCAAAGCAACAGCTCGGAAGATGGTGCCCCGTTTGTCAATAGAGTATGCCTCTATCAAGCTAGATACCTTAAACTTGGCCTGTCACCACCATCACCATATGTTTCTATCAAGGCCCATTGACGCGCGTCTTTTTTCTTGGCGGATCAACCCAAGATTGCCCATTCTGCCCTGTCGGTATCATCTTCCCCAACGACTTTGGAGAACTTATCCTCAAGGGTAAGGGTGGATCGTGCAGCCTCCGTCCCCTCTCCAGCTACCAGATACAGTATGGTGAAACGTAGGAGAGCGGGATCGCCAAGTCCATCTGCTATCTGAACCTGGTTTAACGGGTCTTTTGGTTCGATGCCACACCCGGATCGAGACGTCGGAATATCCGAACGTCTGGTTTGAGTCCACATGGCTAGGTGCGATGAAACGGGTTCACAAGTTATGACTTGGGTCTAGGTCAAAGGAAGAGCCGCATATAGGAACAGTATATATACTGGAGTTGAGACCCGGATGGAAAAGGAAAGAGGCTCGCTTGTTGTCAGACAGAGGTTGGACAGTCAGCTCAAACTTGAACTCGACAAAGACCAAGATGAAGACCTTTGCGACTCTTTTGGCTTCCATCGGCCTGGTGGCCGCCCACGGCTTTGTTGATAACGCTACCATTGGTGGTCAGTTTTATCAGGTATGAATACCTTCATTTTGGGCTATACTGGGGAAAACTTGCTAACAACCTCACAGTTTTACCAGGTAACACCATCACTATGACCTCCGACTTGTATCCCAAAAGCTCACACTCCATACAATATGTAGCCGTACCAGGACCCCTACATGGGCAGCGTAAGTTTTCTTCTCCCCTCCCCTTACACCCATCATTCCAAACCTTCTCATCCGCTCCTAACTTTTTCCCCCTCCCTCTCCTATAGCCGCCCGATCGAATCTCCCGTAAGATTCCCGGCAACGGCCCCGTCGAAGACGTAACTTCCCTCGCCATCCAGTGCAACGCCGACTCCGCCCCGGCCAAGCTTCATGCGTCCGCCGCCGCCGGATCGACCGTCACTTTGCGCTGGACCATCTGGCCCGACTCGCACGTGGGACCCGTCATCACCTACATGGCCCGCTGTCCCGACACGGGGTGCCAGGACTGGACCCCTAGCGCCAGTGATAAGGTTTGGTTCAAGATTAAGGAAGGTGGGAGGGAGGGGACGAGTAACGTTTGGGCTGCTGTGAGTTTTTCTTTCTTTTCTTTTCATTTTTGACCTTGCTCGCTTCGCTCAATCTTACCTATCCTTGGTATGGAAAACGTTTACTAATACTAACGACAAAACACAGACCCCCCTCATGACCGCCCCCGCCAACTACGAGTACACCATCCCGTCCTGCCTCAAGCCCGGTTACTATCTGGTTAGGCACGAGATCATTGCGCTGCACAGCGCCTACTCTTATCCTGGTGCTCAGTTTTACCCGGGATGCCATCAGTTGCAGGTGACGGGTTCGGGAACCAAGACGCCCAGCTCGGGACTGGTCAGTTTCCCGGGCGCGTACAAGAGTACTGATCCTGGGGTTACTTATGATGCTTACCAGGGTGAGTTCTTTTTTCTTCTTTTTTGTCTATTTGGGGAAGGGGAGAGGAAATATGAAAACTATTGCTAACGGTCATGGAAACAGCTGCCACTTATACCATCCCTGGTCCTGCTGTGTTTACTTGCTAAGTAGGCAGCCAATCCCCAAAGGAGGCAAGGGAGGCTTACTTGCCACATTAACTTGTTTCAATTTGAATTCCCTTGCACGGAGGTACTTCTACTTTCTACAGAGTCGCTTAAGGCCTGGTTGAATCAAACGGGTCGCCCTTCAAGTACATATCTACACCTTTTCTTATATGAAATGTGCAACTGTCGATGCTTGTACATAGGAAACTCAGTTAGCAATACGAATATGCACACAACTCTATATTACCTGCCCGCAATATAAATCCGCGTGTCAATATTACCATGCTTACATTATCCCACCGTAGACAATTACCTGATTTTTGGTCGAAGAACGATAACTTCTCCAAGTCATCTAATCATAAGACCCTCCAATTTTAGTGACGACAGTTGGTAATGAGGTTCAATCTCGGCAGCACTGAGGAGATACCTAAATTACGGAGCGCTCAAAGTCCATGACACATCCTGCTATGTCCAAGTCAGTGCCGATTAGAGAGCCACAAAACACTTTCAGACTCAAACTCTCTCTACTAATGGTGTTCCCGTTGTGCTTCATAATGCCCGCTCCAACAGCATACCATCACATACGACCATAGATGGTAGAAAACTCGGGATCCCGTCCGCTCTCCCATAGATAAACTACCAATCGCCTGACTAGTAGTTGGGTCGGTGACGACCAGCGAATCCCAGGTGTTGTATGTCTTTTTTGGGCTGGTTTTCTCTTTTTTTTTTTTTTTTTTTTTTTCCCCGGGGATCTTGACCGCGAAGATGATAAGTTTGGCGTCTGATGCCAACTCCTTGCGGGCCGAGAAAGGCGCAGATAGCAAGGGATCTATCTAGATGTACTCACAATCTGAAAAGCAGACTCTCGCCGACTTCTCCCTCGGGTTAGCCGATTCTCAGCGGAGTCTTCCTCCGCAAAACGATCAAAAGCCACGACATGACTGCATCCAACCCTAAGTACTCTCTTGTAAGTAATTCGTGATTGCCTCCAGCTTCCTACATCACCCCATTACTGATAGGGCGACTGTAAAATGGATATCTGTATGACATTGATTTTGTGCATATCAGCCTCAATGATCTGCACCTTGGCCTCTATGTGCAGTAGCTACCCTCCTGCCTAACTCCGCGGTGTTATCCCAAGAGGTGGGTAGCCCCTCTCGTGGGGACGGCTATTTAAATATACAAGCTCAAAAACCAAATGACATGGTCCGTCCAGATCATTGTAGTGTGCAATTGTTTTTCCCATTTACAAGGAATCGACAAGATCAAAGTTATTTATCTAGGTAATCTTATACATAGGTACAATGCAAAATAGGTGAAAATAATCAAGAATGACAAAGTACATAACTGCGATGAGGCGTTCCTGCTTGAGTCCCGATCCTAAAAAGTGGGCAGCTGCGCCGGCCTTTGAAGGGTACGCATACTTAGGTAGTTAACGGTCCAGAAGTAAATATAGAAGCAAGACATCCATAGCAAAAGTCCCTGTGTCTGCTTTAGGTACCTAAATAGACAGACAATATCTCGATAGGGACCGTATCGATGCCTGCGTATTGGTCGACCCCGAGAACTAGGACGATGAAGATGATCTTCCTCCACCTGGCTTAGAAGCTGGTGCTGGTGGTGTTCCCTCGAGATTCTTTTTGACGTTCTCCAGTTCGCTGACTGCTTGCGCTTGACGGTCGATGGTGCTTGGCAGAGTCCAATGTCAGAAGTTGGTTGTCCTTACAAGACACAAGAAAAGAAAAACAAAAGAAAAAAAAAACAGGTCAAGGCTCATTGAAAGCGAGATGCAAATGACAACTTATGTTTGAGATGAATGAGATGGGTAGGTAGGTACCTAGGTATAGATTACCTTTGTAGCTGCAGTATTTTGAGCCCCTGTATAAGCAAGATGTGCGAGTCCACATCAGCCACGATGGAAGACACTGGTGATAGTTCTATCAGTCATGAGCTCTGTACTTCAATTTTGGACGGCATTTCTTTTCTCTCTTTTATTGTTTTCCTTTATATTTTGGTCTTTCTCTTTTTCCCCCTGAGCAAAAAGACAACACACACGTGCACTTACACTCCTGGTAATTTTCCTCCAGTTTGCCCGCAGCCTCTCGCGCTTCTCTCCGATTGTAAAGTTGTCTCCAGACCGACATTGACGCCTCGTAAAAGCCCTCCACATCCCATTGCGATATCAATCGTCTCGTAGCTCTTGCGTAGCCAGCAGGGCTAATCTGTTCGGCGAGATGGTTCTCAATAGCTTCTGTTTCGTTGACGTTGACCTTTCCCTGGTCGTAGCAATTCTGAACATCCTTGAAAATTTCGCTTAACCGTTCTTCTGGCTGCTTGTCTTCCAGGCCGGACCTTTCTCCGGAAGCATGGCCGGCATGGATTTGATCTCTTCCAAAGCCGACGAAAGATGGATTAAAGAGCCGAATGTAACGTATCTTCTGTTCCAAGGCGTTGAGAGAATTCCTCCACCCCCTTTTCCGAAGTTGGTTGACTATGCTTCTTTCGTTTTGTAGAACTCGGACAATCACAAGATTGAGCGCCGCGAGAGTGAAAGTGAGGAGGCCGACGATGTTTGCGGCTGTGGAAAGTTTGCTGTCCTGAGGCTCAGAGTCGTCAGCCATATCGCGATCCTGGAGAGATGGTACCCATGCATGCAAATGATGTAATGATATGAAGAAACGGGTTAGTGAAGGGTCCTGGACAATTGACAACGTTAGGAGGCAGGTCTCGTTGCGTTGTGATCTATATACGGCTATCGCTGAACAAGGTTACAAGGACATGCGCCGGAACTAACAGTCCACCACCACGGGTCAACCTCAGTCCACACGGACCGCAGCCTGCACGGGCCCTTTAGAGTCACAAGCCATAATGACCCGAGCAGCCACTCAAGCCAATGGCAAAATGCCGGAAAGACGGGGAGGCGGACAACCATGCGCTGCTGTCTGAGTACATTGGTAACGGATCGTGACCTGTTGTGCGTATAGTCGGCAGAAATAGGCACGAAGAGGCTCGACAATTCTTGATTCTTTTCGAGAGGGGTGTTGTGGAAGTTGCGGCGTTGGAAGAATGATGCCGGACTGAGTGGGTGAAGACGAAGAACAGGTTTCGGGTTGCGAGAGGCCTGTCGTTCGAAGGGGTCAGTTGCGGGCCGTTGATGCTTGAGGTTCAGTCGGTGCTATATATCTGACGGGTTGTCGCTCGATATGCGGTTGATGTGTGGTTGCTGCATGGCCGATGATATTGGACTGGGGCCTCTGCTTGTCCCAGCTAGGCTACAGGAATCCAGTCCAACCTGAGGTTCAAAGAGGATGTCGTGCATCTTTGAGGATCCCATTCGACGGCGGCGGTGACGTATACAACGGGGTACTGCCCTTGATCGTACGCAAACGACCGGACACATGGCTGTCTGTCCGAACATGACCTGATGCCTGTGCCAAGGACATTTTAATGCCCCAATTTCATCCACCGTCAACGTGAAGGCTTGTGAAGCCAGATCCAGATGCGCTCAGTTTGATGTGTTGTAGTCCAAAGAAACCGAAATTAGCAGACAGAGAAAACCGAGAGATGCCTACAGAGATAAAAACACAACTTGCCGAACCCTCCTGATGCGGCAGAAAGAATTTGTCCCTTCCATAACGCCACAAGCCATAGCCATTTTGAGGACCATGTTTAACAAAACCCAAGAACCTGGTAAAGCAACAAGTCTTTCTTCCGCTCCCTTTCCTTTCCAAGCAGCGCCAGCAGCAGCAGCAGCACCACTGGTTGGCGTCTTCGTCGTCGTCGTCATCGTCACTCCTTCGCAACCGCTTAGTAGCCACCACGACCACCGCGGCCGCCACCGCGGGAGAAACCGCCGCCACCACGGCCACCACCACCCCTCGAGAAGCCGCCGCTGCCACCGCGACCGCCGCCCCTGCTGAAACCACCACCGCCGCCGCGGGAGAAGCCACCACCACCACCACGGGAGAAGCCACCACCGCCGCCGCGAGAGGAGAAGCCGCCACGGCCGCCACCGCGAGCACCGCCTCTGGGACCGCCACGACCACCAGCACCACCACGGCCAGCCTTCTTCACCTTGGGGGCGCCGAGAACCTTGGGCTTGGGGAGGAAACGCTCGAGAGGGAGGAGCTTCTCGGAGCCGACGAAGACCTTGTCGCCGGGCTTGAAGGAAGTAGCGACGATGCCGGTTTGGGGCTTGACGGTGAAGTAGACCTGAAAGAAGGAGGAGTGTTAGTTCGATGTGCTCTGATTCATGTTTCGGAGGGAAGTGCGCACCTGGTTGAGAGGACCGAGGACCTCATCGATCTTGCCGATGGGGGTCTTGTTCTCGAGGAAGACCTGAGCGTTGAAATGGGGGATCTTGGGGTTGGTGGACTTGTAGAACATCTCGCCCTCGACGGCGTGCTCGAAGGTGCCGAGCTCGAGAACCTGGGCGGGGGGACCATCGTCGCGCTGGCCGAAACCACCACGGCCGCCTGTTGTAGGATAACCATGTTAGTTATCATTGAACATTGTAGAAGAAGTATGGGTGATAAGGTACGTCGCCTTGAGTGGCGCCAATGGTTGACGGCAAAAGTGCGACCAAGGCGACGACATCAAGGTGTGCGATAACGGTTGATAATAGAAGAATAATGCGGCGTACCTCTGAAGCCGCCACGGCCACCGCGGTCACCACCTCCTCCACGACCTCTGAAAGACATGATTTGTTGGTTGGATTGGGTTGTTTGTTGAAATGGGAATACGGCAAGGGTGCGTCTTGCGTCTCCTCGCGCGTCAGTGAACTGGAGGACCGTCGGTTCGGAGTGAGATGTTGACAATCGTTCGTTTCGCCGGCGCAGACAATTGAAATTTTTCCGTGTTCCTGGAAGACTGAAAGAGTAGCAATTTTTCCCGGCCGGCAATCGTCTGCAGACCCGTCGTCCACCACCCCACCTGGGCCAGCCCACTTTCAAACGGTTCCTGGCGGCGCATTGGCTCAATGCGAATTGTGGATGGACCGGGGTCAGTGGCTGCTGTGGACTGTGGGTCTGTGCACAGGGCCCTAACAAACGTGAATGTGGGGATTTCGACATCACTTTTGTGACAACTTTTGACGGGAACACTTTCCGACTTCTCATCGATGCATTTTCACAGCTTCAAGTACAGCAGCTTTTCGCCTCATTACACTACACGACGCTCTCAAATTACCGTAATCGTATGGACATACTTGACCTCACCGTCCTCAACCCGGATCTCATGGCTATCCGGCATATTCCCCAGCGCATCAAACGAGTACAGCACGTCAACCGAACCCATCACCTCATCGATGACATATCGCCGGTTTCCGTTGCGCTTTGAACTGCCTCCTCTCGGTAACTGAACACCACACGGTCTGGTATACTGCGACCCTTCAACACGCTCACAGTCGGCCCCCCATGGAATACTATCAGCCGCCTTTGCATCCGTCCACATGTCGAGATAAGCATCCCCAACCTTTCTCAGCAGTTCTCGACTTGGCCGATTCGCCGCCGTCTCGATGATCATGGTGTAGCTGGCGCAGGCAATGGTATCGGCCGTTGATCGGTTGAGGCTGATGTTGTGCGACTGGCTGAGGATGCCGCGCTTGATGTCGGCTGCCTTGTTGTTTTCCTGGTAGGTAAAGTTGCTCGAGGCGAGTTGGAGGCCGTCAAGTCTGCCGGCGGAGAAGGCGTCTACATAAATGTTGGCTGCTGCTAGCAGTCTCTCCCGGGTGCATTCCGCGAAAACAGAAGTAATGAGTGCAAGGAAGCAGACAACGGTGAACCAGACCGTGTCTTTGGCAGATCTGGACAGCATCGTCATGTGAAGGTAGGTGCTTGGCTGTGATTAGAGTAGCTGTTTTGGGCATGGACAGCTTTGGTTCAAGATGCCCGGCTGAGTGCTCAAGTACTCACTTCCAGGAGCCGATAGCTTTTTCCGAGTCTTCATCCTCGACCCCGTTTCATGAGTAGGCCTGCCGTGGATAAACGGAGGGCATTGATTAATTCGGCGGGGGGCACTTTACCCCAGAGATATCACTTGCTGTTTCCCTCTTGCGATTTCCTGATATTGGCTGGCTTTAGGCTTTGTATCCTGCTCTAGCCTACCTACCATCATTCCAGCATGCTTTCAACGCAACATTTTCAAAGATAGCCGGATATTGGATAAGGTAGGTGAAATGAAAGAAGGGACTGAGCCAATACGACCCTAACCCTTGAACTGCATGGTTTCACAAGCCTCGGCATCTCTCCGACTTTGTTAGCGGGGCAATTCACCCAAACAAAGCGAAAGCCCAGTCCTCAAATCCAGATCTCACCACCATTCCACATCAACATCATATCAGTCAGAAGCCGAAATGACTGGCCCTCTACCTGGACAAAAGACCGTCTTGATCACTGGGTGAGTTTATTGCGCTGTCGATTTGCTTTGCCGGAGTGCCCGTGACATGCCCTCTATTCTAGGCGCTCCAACTGTCCAATACATCAATCATTCCTTGATAGCAAATCGCTGACATTATCTTATAACAGCTGCACGCCAGGCGGCATCGGTCATGCCCTCTGCCTCGAGTTTCACAAGCAAGGTGTGTACTGGCAGCTGCCCGTTTCCGGAGCTACAAAGCATCCCGCCCATTGCTTTCAGTTCGCATTCACCAAACAAAATACTAACAATCTCACCATGAAGGCGTCCATGTCATCGCAACGGCCCGCAACCCAGCCGTCTTGGCCGAGATGGCCGACATGGGCATGAGCACCCTCGCCCTCGACGTCACCAACGCCGAGAGCATCAAGACCTGCCACGAGGAGGTTGCCCAGATCACCGGCGGGAAGCTTGACATTCTCGTCAACAACGCGTACGTTCTGTTCCTCATGCTGCCACACGGTCCCCATTGTTTACTTTCCCCCTTTTCCCTTTGATGTTTATCCATCCACCATCTATCCCTACTAACCCTCACCCCCCTTTCCAAAAGCGGCCGCACCCACACCCACCCCGCCACCGACATCGACCTCGACGACGTCCGCGAGACCTTCGAGACCAACGTCTTCGGCGTCATGGCCATGTGCCAAGCCTTCGCCGACCAACTCATTGCCGCCCGCGGGTTAATCATCAACATTGCCTCTCTCGCCGCCATCACCCCTTACGTCTTTGGGAGCGTCTACTGCGCCACCAAGGGCGCCGTGGTCTCGTACTCGCGCACCTTGCGGCTGGAACTCAAGCCCTTTGGCGTGCGCGTCATGACCACCATGACGGGCACCGTCCGGTCCCAAATCGCCTCCAAGACGCACCGCACCTTACCCGAGAACAGCCTCTACATGCGCGTCAAGGAGTTCTTTGAGCGCCGCTTGACGTTTTCGCAGAATAACGCGACGGTGGGCACGGAGGAGTATGCGAGAAAGCTGGTGAGGAATGCGCTGAAGGGAGAAGCCCCGCTGATTTTGAGGAGCTGGTTTGGCAGGGCGGATTACTTCTGGGCGGGTGGATGGGCGAGACTCGTTTGGGCTGGTACCTTCTTTGGGGACTGGTTGTTGGATCTGGTCATGTATCGCATGTTCAAGATGAACGTGTTGGAGAGGGTGTTGGCGCAGGAGGAGGCGCAGAAGAAGCTGAATTGAGCGAAAGGGGGGATGAGAAAGTGGAGGCTCTACTTTGGTTGGTTATGGTCAATGGCTTGATGTCTGCACAAGTCGTGTTGGACAGGTACCAATGGGCGAGTACTCTGGCTAACCTGTGATGGGCTGATTCAGCCTTACAGCGAGCGATTTTCGTCTCAAAGGTGTATTCATATGCGCTCAGCTGCCGGAGCCTTTATCCCATCATTTATTCCATGACCGTGAACCATGGTATATCGTTAGACATGACTGTTACCTTGATCAAACTTATGTTTGCAGTCTTTCAACGGCCTAGTACCTGCCATACTCAACGATAACCACAAGCATATCAGACACTTTGCAGGACAGTGGTTTGTCCACGGCCGCAAACATCATTGGCTTCATCACCTCAGCTCTTTCGGCCCTTGACCTCTTCATAGTTCGGCTTCTTCAGCGCGAAAGATTGATGTTCGAGGAGCAAAGGATCAGGGAGCGGGGGGGCTTGCGCGTGTACTTCAAGTTTTTCGATGGAAGTGACGTTCTCGAAAGAAAACGAGTCATGCCTGGAACTCCAGCAAGTCCACCCAAAGACGTAGTGGGCAAAGTATCGGAGGATGTCCACCAATGTTATGACAGGCCCTCTCGTTCAAGACTTGTGCTTGGTCACCTCTAAATTATCATCACAAGAAACCGGACAACCTGGACTTTACCGAGCCAAAGTCAAAACCCGCCTCAAAGCATCGACAAACCTTCGCCATCTCGAACTCCGCTCACTTTTTAGCTCCTCTCGCTTCTCAGCCATGATCCCCACCCCACCTCGCTTCCGTTGTTCACGCCTCTTTTTCTTCATACGTATGTCATTCATCAAACCCCGTGGCTGATTTTCGGCCTCTCCCCAAAGCACCTGGAACCCTCTTGCATCGCCATCCTCTCCTCCATCGTCCGTCTCCTGGCTGCCCTGCTCCCGCTCTCCCATCGACCCCTCCGCCGAATCTACCGGCGACTCCGGCGACTCCCCATTTCCATCATCGCTCAGCTCCATCTCCATAGGCGATCTGATATCCTGTCTCAACCCATCCGGATCTGTAACAACCGGCGCGAGAGCTCGAAAGGTTCGTGTAGGCGGGTTCGGCACCTCGCTGTAGTTTCCACCAGGTCCGGTTCCACGAATACGCATCCCTCCTACAGCTGTTTCTTTTGGTTCTTCCAGATTCTGCAGGTGTTTTGGCAGGTGTCGCGGGTCGTCGACGATCTTGAACTTGAGTATCACGGTTTCGTCATCAATCCGTTTGGGGTGTTTGTCCGGGCAGACGATTTGCTCGATTAGACCGCCAGTTCCAACGACCATCTGGTGCGGAAGCATGTCCTCTTCGCGGTCAGAGTAGATGCTTTCTTGATCGCCGGCGGATTGTGGTGCGGCTACTGTAACTAATGTGTGTCCATATACTGGTGTCCCTGATACCGTTGATGATGGTTCTGATCCTAATGATTCTACTGGCGATGGTGGTCGTAGTACTAATGCGTCTCCTACTGGTGATGGTGGGGTTGGTGGTGGGCTGGGTGAACAGTGGCCGGGTTCATCGGAAGTAAGCTCTTCACTGATTAGTTGTGGCTGTGAGCTACTTGAACTAACATTGCTGGATAAAGGAATGACAACATCTGTGGGGTCCGCGGAAGATGGCGGCCCAGACATATCGATTAGGGGCGATCGCAAACGATTATATCGCGGCAACCACATGCGGTGCGGTCGGCCCACGTGTATGTAAGCTAATTAATCCTCGTCAGCCAAGAAGTCCCGGAATCCAGTTCGTGTGAGGCTGTTAGTGGTGGTGATGCATGCGGTATCATGTCATAGTTGTAGGGGGTTGATGAGCCCGTGTCGTAGCAAGGAAGTTCTTGAATTATAACCAGTGATGACAGTGCCGAATCGTCGTAGGAGAAGGGGTTAAACGAAGATGGCGGTGGTGTTGAGTGATAAGCTTGCTGTGGCATGATATCAGGAATATACGTGGTGGACACACCCAGACCGTCCGAAGTCATACCTGTAGGGGGCGGCGGCAAATAACTGCACGGGCCGAATGGTTCATCTAGATGCCGTGAAGTGATTTCAATCTCGACTTCTTTCTTGATGTTGTTATTCCGGAGCTGGTATCGGAGAGACAGCCTGCAGAGGGCCACCAACATGTCAGAGGAGAACTTGAATGGAGCGTGACGGGCAATGATACATACCTCTCCCTTTCACGACGAAAAACACGAAATTGACGTGCAGTATCCTTGCCGACTTGCTTTCCCCAGACCCATTTCTGCTCGGAGACAACGAAGTAGTCCTGACTCTTCCTCCCATGCGTGGTGTGCTGGAGGACATTCACACCACCCACTCTGATTTTTACCTTGAAAGCAGACTCGTTGCAGTCTCCGACCATGCGAATTGCAAAAGCCTTGTCATCTGTACATCAAGGTGTTCTTTAGCACAGTGCCTATGGATCGATCCCTATCAGCGTTAACCGAAGGGGGTAACTTACCTTTGATGGCAAGGAAGTGGCTTCTACTTCCCTGCTTTTGCTTCATCTTGTCTTTGGCATTATTCTCTGTTGGAGAACCATATATTGTGAAGCGAACGTTATGGGGCCCTGGAGTGTCTTCTATGGTTTCATTCACGTCTGTCCGGGGCTTGCGAACACGTTGAAAGCGACGTTCTGCATTGTCGCTAACCCTGGGGACTTCGAAGAAGGCAATTGTCAAAGTATCGGTTCCAGAAGTGACAGTGATTGACTGGTCATCACTTCGGATTAGTTTGATCGCCTTGTCGACAGACATCATGGGCTTTGAGGAGGTGTAATAGACACGAGGACGGGGATTTGCTCGCTACCAAGCAATGATAGATCAGCTGGGGGTGCGCTGGGGAGATTGAATCCATATAGGTCGAGCCCCCTCATACACGGGCTGCCCATAGCTGAGCCTTTTTGGTGGTCACACCGTGGAGATGGGTGTGGAACATCATAGCTGAATCACTCAGTGGCGTAGTATTGAGGCTGATATGCATGGTAGTGTGTCACAGAAGAGGCGAAGTGTTGGGCAGACTGCCGTAATTGGATAATTGTCAGGAAGAACAATAGGGAAAGGGAGATAACCCATCAGGCTGGAGTAAATACAGGACTATGATAGTGGTGGGGGACGACTGCGCCGCCTCAATTACACAGCCATTCGATCTGTGAGCGTATAAAGCAGCCACCAATGGCGATACTACCACTCAATCCTCGTGGCTTGAAGCTCAGTTGGACGTTGACACCTCCTATTTTGACGCTTTTCATGATCATGGTCTAACCATTCCTTGTTCCGCCCATCACCTGAAATACTAGACCCTTCGTTTTCGTCGCACTTCCGCGGCTCTTGCCGTCTTCCAAACTTTGAAACTGGTTTGGCCGTACAATGCTTATCTTCTCAACCCTACCGAACCCGCCTAAACTTCAAGCAAGGCATCGTCTTTGTCAGAAAGCAGGATGTCCGATGACCAAGGCGACAGTCCTTTGTCCACTATCAGCAATGTGGTTGGTCTGTTGACATTCACTCTGGGACTTCTCACACTCGTTGTTACCTTTCTGTCCATCACACACAGCGCGGAAAGGGAAATCGAAGACATACGCGAAAAGTTACAGGCGAGAGAAAGTCACATTCGTGAGATAGAATGCCACTTCAAGAAACTCGACACAGAGGCACACTCAGACTGGGAAGGCAGTCAGAGTAAAATCGACTTTCTCATGACCCTTAGAAAGATCAAACACCATCATCAAAAAGCAACAGCTGCGCTTGACATGAACAGCAAAAAGCATTACTGGTGGTGGTATAATCGACCTGACGGTAATACAACCTATCGTACTTTCCACTTCCTCCCCTTAGTGGAGGGACTGAGTGCTAATCGAAGCTTGCAGTAATGGGTGCCGTGGCCGCGATTGAGACACAGTTCCAACATCTGAACACCATCCAGTTGACATTTCTCCTCACGTAATACTCCTTCCTCATTTACCTATTTTGTCGAATGGGGCCCTCTGTTAACGCTGACTCTCAACATCAGTACCACGAGAACCCAGCAAGACCATATTGACGGACTTGAAGCGTCCTTTGGCGAAGTAAAACGGGAACTAAGGTCCGACAAACCTCTACCATCTTCAAGATCCCAAGCTGACAGTTCCGCACCGACCCAGAAACCGCTCAGACTCTTAGTTCGCTAAAGAAAGCGCATCTCGTCCCAAATCATACCAATATCAAACCCTTTCCATCACGCCTTCCCAACATGGTCGACCACACTCAAACCCTCCTCCCCTCACAAACCAAGAACGGAAACTCCATCACCGGTCCCCTCTCCATATCCCCCTTCCCCGGCTCACTCTCCACCCTTTTCTGCAGTACAAACCCCCTCTCAACTTTAACCTCCTCAAACCCCACCCCCTTCAATATCTCCTCCATTTCCTCCTTGGTAATCCCATGCCTCTCCACTCCATCCATCTTAGCCTCCGGATGAAACCTCCTCGCTTCCGGTCCGAAATTCTCAAAGTCCGTCGTCACCACCCTACCAGTGCCAGGTTTTAGGGTACCATAGATGGTCTTGAACAGCGCCGTCAGATCAGCAACGTGGTGCAACACCAGATGCGAAATAACCAAATTGAACTTGCCCTCCCACGCCTCCCCTGTGACGGGATCGATCTTGATGATAGGGTCTTCCGGCTCCTCAAGCAGTGCTGTAACTGGCCGAACGTTCTTCACTTGCTCATAGGTACCGCCAGGCGATAACTTGTGAGTGAGCACGTCAATCATACCCTCCGCCGCGTCGACGGCTGCGAGGGAGCGGACGTGGGGTGCGAGAAGGAGAGATAGCAAGCCAGTGCCGCAGCCGATTTCGAGGACGTTGAAAGACGATAGTTCTGAGGGAGGGGGCAAGCGGGAGAGGTAGGATTCGAAGGCTAAGGAGGTGGCGAGTTGGATGGATGGGTTGGAGTCCCAGTTGGCAGCGTCGGCGTTGAAACGGGCGTTACCGGTGCCGGTGGTGGAAATTGGGTCTGTGGTTGTGTTGGCGGTTGAGGATGCCATGGTGGGTAGGTGAGTGGTTTGTGTGTGGGTCTGAGGCTGAAATTGAAGTTGAAAGTTATGGCTGTGGTTAAGTTTGGGATTGAGGATGATAAGTGTTATTGAGTGGTCAAGATGAAAGGAGGGGAAGTTGGGGAAGAAGAGATATTACTAAGCGATCTATTGGGTAGCATGTAACTAGCGCATCAAACCCCCTCTCCTGCCTCCATGGATGAAAGTTTCCTAGAATAAGCGTCATTGGGAGTTTCTTTCTTCGAATTTGAAGATGCTGAGCAGTTGGTACCATGATATAAAGCCCAGGCACTAGATAAGGGATGCCATAATAAATCAGATGGCGTAATATACGATCCTCTGTACGGTATTCTTGGTCGGTAGCTGTCCAGGGGAGGCAGCTGTAAGACAAAGTATCACCAAAATCGTTGTAGAAGAAACACCCAGAAAAGATAATTCCCTATTCCACCAAACGGGTGTACCTCTGGCTGCCTCAAGGTAACACCACACATTCAAAATAGATCATCAGCCTCTCAAGGACACCACTCCACCAGCGTCCACACATCACCATTACTTTCTGTGACCGTGTCCCCAACTTCGTTCGTCTTTCCTAGCTCTCCCACGCTGATCATCTCAGGAATGAGCGCCTTCGGAAACGCCAGTGGCTCATCCAAGTACCTCCCATCCTTCTCATCCACTTTCCGTTTCTCCTCACCACCCACATAGCCCTTAACTCTCGCCTCCAACCTCCATCTACTCTGCTCATTCTCACCGCTCACCCACTTCCACCGCTCACACAACAACTCATTTCCCCTCCTCAAAATCCCCTGAGCCCACCTTCCCACCTTCACAATCCTCCCCTTCTTATTCTTCAACTTATCATCCAACTCCCAAACAACACAATTCACATACGGAGGCTCTGCCACCCCTTCCTCATCCGGTACCCAAACCTCCTCATAGTCCTCTTCTTGCCCACTCTCGGGGTTAACCATCCTCCCCTTTTCCAATGCAAGCTTCTCATTCCCCTCGCCAGGAATCCGGTACATATCCCCCTCATCAGCAGCCGCCTCGTCGGGACTTGGCCCACCCCCCGCCTCAGTGTACAAAACCCTAGAATCAACCCAATGCGTCCACCTCCCCCTCATATACGGGTGCTTCCCGCTCTTCAAATCCGCGGTCGTCCCACTGACCGTGCGCCCATCAGGCAGAATCAGTTTTTGCCCATAATAACCGATGGTAGGGCGGGTGGAGGTGTGCGTGGAGGTGCCGGCTATGGCCCAGTCCAGGCGCGAGAGGGGGAGAGTTCTGGCTTCTTCGGCTTTAGTTTCGGACCCGGTGTGGGAGTTGGGGCTGATGAAAACGCAGGTGTGGTTGGGCGAGAGAGGATCTTCTTTGAAAATGCGCAGGTCGACGAAGCGGCCGCTGGGAGAGGTGAGGACAATGGTTGAGGTTGGCTCCGCAGGTGGGGGAGTGTCGCTGCTGGAGGAGGGGGAGGAGCTGGGGATCCAGCGGATGGAGTGGCGGATTGAGATGTCACCTTTTTGTTCGGTGGCCATGGTTGCGGTTTTTCTTTTTCTGATCAGCTTTGATGTTCAGGCTCTCGATTGAGAGCGTTTGAGAGTGAAATGAACGTAGTGGTGGGATGTTTGGTGCGAGTTGATGACTTTGGGTGAGATGCATGAGGGGTTGCCGAGCTGATCCCTCCGATATGCGGCGCGAGCCGGCCTCCGCCATCACACATTCAGTCATTTACCCTAACCCTCGTGATGATTGTTTACCAAGCCCCTGAATCCTTCACCAGTTTGTAAAGCTTGGTGATCCAAGAGATGGCTCGATTGCAAAGATAAAGTTTCTGAGAAATATGACAACGGTCACTACCGCTCAGCCATAATATGATTTGCCAATACCGGCGTTGGATCAATGCGAATGCAAGAGTGACTGCGGGAGGAGGAGGAGGAGGAGGGATATGTTTTTTTGCCCGTCACGACGGGTACTGTACTTAACTACTTAACTTCCACTTTCATACAAAACATTACACACTCTTATACCTCCCATCAACATCTAGCGCTTTACATCCCTTTCGTTGTCAACCACTCAGGCAATACAAGAGAGAACAGGCGGTAATTTTCGATCAAAGAGAAAAACCCTCCTACATTCATTACTTTCCGCCCACGACCCCAGATCCCGGACGGTTGGAATCTATATCGTTGTTGTGGATACTTCAAATGTATCGACTGGTGACCAAGGGGCGCCATTGTCTGAGTGATGAATAGGTTCTCTTGGCACAGTCCCGGCAACTTGATATGCCGAGCGCTCAGTAGGCAACTCGGGTGTTGTGTGAGCCCCAAGAACGTGAACCTCGTGGATCTCATGGTAGATGGGCAACTCGATAACGAGTGGCTCCCAGAGGATTGGTGGTCTGCAATCGAGTCAGAAAGACGGACTTGTATGTGTGCGTTTGTTTGACGCATGGGAGAATCCTGAAGTGTTGTCAGAGATTGTCACCTTTGTTGCAAAGCTGAACCTTTGAGATCTCTTCCTTATCACTGATTACAGCGGTGGATGAAGGAACATCTAGGCTGTAGTCTGACGGAAGCGGGAGCGAGACTGCCCATCAGCGAGAACTTTCCCTTGTTCCAAGTTGTGGCTCCCCGCTCCGTGACCCCAGTTCGCTCCGGCTTGGAGACACCTGCCGTCTGCTACCAGTCTTCCCAATGAACCTTCCCTTCTTGAAAAAGACAACGGACCCGACAGAGCATAAACTTGAAGAAGGCGCCAAGCCAATACTCTTTCCGAATGATGTTTCCCTCCCTTGCTCAAATCCAAGTTAAACCGATTGCTTTGGACGAACTCCTCTTCTACATTTTCATCCATCACGTCTGAATTCCTCGTCTTGTCTTTGATACGATCATTGTGTCCAAACTTCCTATAACGGCCGCCACCTTACCCAATCATCGATAGATCGACCACTTATCTGCTTCAATATTCCCTAGTACGCCCTGATCTTGCCTCCTAAACCCATATCTATATGTCCCGGATTCAAGCACCCCTTTGTGACCCTCTTCGCTGACCTCCGAGTCCAGCTATTTGCCATCTAACCGATCACGACTCACCCCGCTCACATCTTGCAAAGGGAAACCGAAGAGCTTACCCCCATCGGAGAGAAACAACTCTGCAAACGCCTCATGTTCCTTCACTCCCAATCTCGCACTCCTCATCGTTCTCCTGCTCTGCAACGAAGACCCTCGGACACCGAGCCTCTCGTCATCGCCTCTGGCTCCGGGACCCAGGATCACACCCAGAGCAGCCCTGCTCGCACCAGCCTCGTGAACGACCTCAACAGCAACGGCTCCTGCACCTACTCTGACGACGACGGTGACTACGACCAGCAGCAATCCTCCTCTTCGTGTCCAGACAACATGAACCACAAACATCCTCACAACCTCTTGAACAGCAACAGCAACAAACTCTGCCACAAACGCTCAACAACTTCCACATTCAATACCTACTCCACGGCTCCCACGGCTCCCATCGCCTCCTCCAGCAAAGTAAACGTGACCAACCCCTTCGAAGATCCCTCCCACATCGTCAACGAACCCTCACCCTCTGGTTCTTCCACCCCCTCCACAATCCCCTCCGATTCATCTACACCCCAACCTCATTCTCTCTACCGAATCAATCCCAACTCGAATTCCTTTCACCCTCATCCTCACCCTCCCCATGCCCTGCATAGCAACCACGGCCTAGACGGCACGGTCTCCGCCAACGCCGGTTTCACCGCCGGCACCACCGGCCATGGCGTGCCCGTCCCGGTAATCAACAAGCGAGCCCATACTAGTACTACGATCTCGTCAAGGAGATCGGGCAGGTCGACTTCTTCCAAACTCTCGAAGAGGGTGAAGAAGTTGCCACGGGCGGTGAGGCGGGCGATTAGGAGGTTTCTGAGACGAGTGACGGGGAAGAGCCGGAAGAAGGACAAGATGAAGGTGACTTGGACTGCGCCGCAGGATTGAGGCCGAGAAGCCTCAGAGGGAGGACATGTCAGGATGGAGAGGAGTGCGGGTTATTGATGGGGAATGATATGGTTACTGGTGAGATTAATTGGTCGCCTTGTTATGGCCACATGCGATTCGTGTGAAGACATGGGGAAATGGGGCATGTGACGATTGTTGCTTGTTTATGAATTGAGACAGATGCACGAAAAGGTCTTGGTGTTGGGTATCTTTTGTCGACCTGCGGGAGGCTATTATCCCTGGGGAGCTACCCTTTTTCGTGCTTCTGTGGGCGAAGCTACCTAAGAATATGCGAATGGTTTAGTGCATGGATCGTCATGGTAAGAAAAAAGACAGAAAGAGATGCATGACTCACGTTAAGCAGCTAAAAAATAGATTGATACCCCCAAAGAGACCTTTGGCAAAAGCAAACCTTAAACGAACCAGTCATAAAAATCATGCAGACAACAGAGAAACAAGAGAACGCGGAACAGTTTGGTGACAATTCAAGACATCGATCGCATTGCGACAATGTCCAGCTCTAGTTGTATTCCCTTTGCCTCTTCCACCACCACCTGGTCCAGCCCTTCCCAATATCCTATCCTATCCTATTCTAGCTCCCTTCGACACGCTTGCATTACCAAATTGGACATTACGACTAGTACAGTACACAGACAAAGAGTTTTTGTTAGATCCCCCCAACCTTCCTGTCTCTAAACAAAAAATCAATCGACTATTGGACAAAATTACCCCCGGGGAGCTGAAATATGCCAGTACCTTGAAAAGATGATGAGGTGGATATCAAGTGATAAGAATGAAAGAGGAGACGAAAAAGAAAAATGAAAGAAAAACCATAAGAAGGGCATCATGATATATATAGGTGTGTGAAAGTGCTGCTGACGTTGCGTGACAGTCGTATGATGATGATGATGATCGAGAAAAGAAAAGAAAAAGAAAAGAAAAAGCCGTTAATGCAAGAAGATGGAGAAGATCGCCCCCCAAGCCCAATGATGATCCAAAAAAAAAAAAAAAATAAGCAAAAAAAAAACAACAACAACGAAATCCCGGCCATATGACCATATGACCATATGACCATCCCCTCTTTCCAGCAGATATTCAACCGGAACTAAACCAACCAAAAAAGGTGTTGGGAAACAAAATGGAGCTCAGCGGGCTCGCTCACTCACTACTACGTATCCTTCGGACCTCCTCCTCCTCCCAGTCCAAAACTCATCCCCATACTCATCCCCAACCGATCCATCGTGCCCCTCCTATGTCCATGCCCATGTTTACCGCCATTGGCCCCACTCCCATCCCCTTTCCCCGTCCCCGTCGCCCCTCCCCGCTCACTCAACACCCCCGGGTTCTGCCCCGTCACCCGCCCCCAGTCCTCCCACTCTTTACTGATCTCCATCAACACGCCAGCCATCACCTGCGCGCTAGCCATGAGCCCGTGCCCTTCCCCTTCCAAGATGCGTACCTCGCACCTCCTCATCATCTTGCCCAACCACTTGACGTTTTCGACAGGTACTCTCGTATCGCGACTACCGTGGTGGATCACGACAGGGCGGGTAATGTCCACGTAGCGAAACCCAATGGTGTGCCGACGCTCCAAGCAGACCAAGAGGTCCACGGCCGGGTTGGCGCCCGTGGTAGCTAATTGCCAGATAGCGTGCGTGAGGCGGTGGTCGTATTGTTGTTGGCGTTCGCGCTCGGCTAGCGCCAAAGCGGCAGCGACGTCGGCGTCTGAGAGGCCACCCGAGGTGGAGTGGCGGGAGTGGTTGTTGTGTTCGTCGACGCCGGCGAGGTTGGAGGATTTGGAGCGGGTGTGCCGGTGGCGGTGGCTGCCGCCGCCGATGCCCTTGTTGCTGTTGGTTATGGTGGGGCGGATGCGGTCCATGTCTTCGTCTGCGCCGGTTGGTTCGGTACTGATGATGCCGGAGGAGGTGGCGGGGCGGTCGGAGTCTTTATTTTCTATTATGCCTAACGAGGAAGATTTGTCCTTCTTCTTGTCGCGCTTGGCGCGTTTTTGTTTGGGTAGGGAGGAGGTGATGCTGGAGCTGGTGGCGGCCATGAAGTTGCTGTTGGCGACTTTGAGGATGGGTGTTGGTAGTGCTCTTAGAATTTTTTGGCTGGTAGGGATGGCGTTGGTCGGTGGTAGGGGGTTTTGAGAACCACCTCCGATGACGTTTATTTGGGATGGGGGGATCCAAGGCGCGAGTAGATGGATCTTTCCTCTGATGTGTTGAGGCATGCGTAGCGCGGTTGCCAAGGCGTAGATGGCGCCAGCGGAGTGGGCGAGGATGGAGAACTTTGTGATTTTGAGAGCTTGACATATGGCATAGACGTCGTCTGTTGAGAATTAGCATTTGACACTCGAATAGCATGAGAGGGCAAAACATACCAGGCCAGCCCAGTGGCGTCGTGTTACCATCACTATACGGCTCACTATCACCCACTCCAGGTCTATCAGGGGTGATCATCCGGAGCTTCAACGTCAAAGCCAGCTCGTCGTAAAACGCGGTAATGTACCTCGTCAGACCCATGCCCACACAGCAGAAAACGGCACTCCCGTTGGGATCGCCCACTTCGCTGAAGCTGATTACGCGACCTGTCTGCGGATGCCGGATCTTCTGGCTCAGTCGGGGACTACATAGGTAAGCCTCGACCGTGTCGTCGATGCTGTCTGCGCTTTTTGGCCTTTCGTATGTAACATGCGGTCCAATTCCCTCTGTCGAAGAAGATTTGTCAGGATTTCCAGGTATAATAGCGTCGGAGAGTCGTTTAAGCTTACTGCTAGCCCGCTTGTTCTTATTATCAGAATTCCCGTTGCTATCACCGTTGCCTGCCAAAGAATCTGAGTTCAAAAAGGCTGATCTTCGTTTCGATTTTGGATCTGCATCGCGATCCTGTGGGCGTGACTGGGCGATAGCGGGAGAGGGTGCAACTTGGTCGGTTTCGGTTTCTGGGAACATGTTGACTGTAGGTGTGGATAATACTGGTTTCATGTGTAAGTCTGCAGAGAGGCGTAAGGGGTCCAGCATCTTTCTTTGGCGTCGTTGCGGTTTTTCGGTGCGTGGCTCGGGGAGCTCGCTGGGGTGCTCTTCGAGTTCGTGAATGGTGTCGTTTGCGCCAGTGTCGCTTTCCCGTATCGACTTGCGCGACGTCCTGGTAGACGACCGCTTGTGTTTCTGTGACCTCCTCAACGATGACTCCCTGGTTGGAATACCTGGCGGGGAGCTCCCAAAGCCGCTTGGAGGTTCCCAGTCCGTCGGCAACTTGGGTGTAGAAGGGATATCGCTGCCTGGTTCCTCGCTGATAATACTCTCCACCGACAACGGATCGAGACGGGGGGTCGAGCTGCCGCTTGCTGTGCCCGTTCCAACCAGTCCTGTGAATGAACTTGCAACTAGTGCCGAAATACCAATAACGCTCGTCCTCTTTTCGATTTCTTGTTCGCGCAATCTCTCCTTGCTGCTCATGTACATCAACCCGCGCTGACTGCGGCCTGCTGTCCTCCAATTCCAGCTATCGGCGGATTTCTGTCGGCGCAACGGTTTGGGGTCAGTGCCCACGGGCGAAACTGGTTCGCTTCCTCGTTCGATGCTCAGCTTGCCAATGCTTTCGACGCCGGATGCAAGGGATGCCTTGCTCGATGATCGCGACAGTGCGCTGCTGCTACCGCGCGAGAGCAAGCTCCTAAAGCCGGAGGGTTCGCGAGTGTGTGCGGGGCTCTTTGGTGATTTTGGGCCCTTGGAGGACACGGATATCTTGGAGGTGGGACGAGATCTGCCAGTCCGGACAACGGGAGGGCTTGCAGTGGCCTGGTCTACGGGGACATCTTGGTGCTGCCACTGAGTTTCGGAGGGCTTGGAGAATGCGCCGTAGTCGACACCGAACGAACCCGATTTGGCGGTTGGGGAGGAGTTGAAGGACAGGTCGATGGGGCTGTTGGGGCCTATGGACTCGAGATAGAAGGGCGACTCGAAATGGGTGCTCAGCGGGCGTGATATGGAGGAGAGGGATGTGATGAGGGACGAGATGACCTCAGGAGAGGCGGTTTGAATTGGTTGGTTGGGATCCCTGTCTCGGTTGTGGTTGGCGTTGTTGGCGCTGGCTGCTAAGCTGGCGGACGCGTGGTCGGTGCGTGGGTCTTTGTCTTTTCGTTCGGGCGTTCGGTTGGGATCTCTCCGGTGGTTTTCCAAAGTTTGCCTCCAAGTCTGTCCACTTGTTTTCTTTTCCGTCTCGACTTTCTTATTCTCGTCCTGCTGATCAGCGAGGTTTCGAATGCGGTCTCGTTCGCGGGATCGTCGGGGGATGGGAGGTGCTGCTGCCAGGTAGGCAGCCGGCTCGGGCAATTGCTGCTGCTCCATTATTCTAGGTAGTTTAAGTTACTGAAAGGTTGACGACGACGACGAGAATGGCGGTTCCCAAGTTTGCCTAAGTTATGGCGGGCGGCTGGGGACGTCGGGCCTCCAAGCTAACTTCTCCTAGCTGGGGAGCGGCCGTGTGTACCGAGTCGTGCGTTATATTGGAATGTCTTAGAGTCGTTGTATGCTTCGTCGATCTTGGCAACCAGTCCCTCTCGTAGTTGCGGTTGTGCTTGTACTCCCGGCTTTCTGGACCATGACCTTCTCCCGCTGCACGTCGCTGGGCGGCATAAGCTGCAAGCAATCAACTTTGCGTCTGCAGGTACGTCCAAGCAATTATTGGGTTGGACCGATGAGGTGGGATGGGATGGAATGGCAAACTTCTTGTTGGCTGGCTATGGTAGGGACCAATCGAGATTGAGTCGTCGCAAAAGTCACAAGTTGAATGCTGATGCTGCCACCGAGAGGGTATTAGGTGAATAAATATTAAAAGTTAGAAAAGTGTTGCTGTCTCGTAAAGCCAAGTCGGAAGCACCGAGCGAGTATCGTAGCGAGATATGATATTAGGTAGACTGGCTGTGGTAGTTACGTCGATATGGTTGGTACAGTATGTCGAACGGGCAAAGCGGAAGTGAGAGCGAGGAAAAGGTAGGTAGGTAGATCGGTAGGCGCAAAATCTCTGGATTCGTTCCTCCTCAGACCACCTCGATATCGACAGACGGCGTTAGAAGGGCGGGAAAAAAGAGGCTGGAAAAAGAAATGAGATGAGACGCGGCAAGATGGAGGGAAAAAAAAAAAAAAAAGAAACCAAAGTGCCGGACCCCAAGGCCGACAAGGAAGGCCAAAAAAGAGAGGAGTTCGAGTCTCGCCGAATCTGAACAACGACCCCGGACACATGTAGAAATCTATGAACCCTAATCCCGGACTGGTCACTTCCCTCGCACAAGGGGGAAAAGGTGCAAAAAGAGGACTGGTACGTCTTGGGCGCAATTCGCGATATGTATCTGGGATTGTGACCAGGAGGGTCCTGTACAAAAAGATGATCCAAGGTGGCATTGGTGCTTGTCATGTCCCCGTTGTGACCCTCCAAACTCTTTCATGCGCTCCAATGCGCTCCAATGATTTTGAGTGCTTCTCGGTTCCAGGATTCCCAAGATTTCCAAGGTTACTCCAGATGCCCCAGTTGCTGCAATGCTGCTGCAGGTACCGCTGATAGCGCCAGTGATGGTGGGGACCTGGAAATGGAATGATTGTGCCCGTGCTTGTGCTCGCAACTCCCGTCAACTTGGGAACAAGGACATCAGTCGTCCATCAAACGGGATGTCTGGATGAAAAGAGAGGGAAAAAAAAATGCAAGATGAGGATCTGTGGTCTTCAAGGGAACCATGCTAGGGCGGTTAACTGGGATGATAAGTTGGCAGCTCAGATTAACGGAAGTGATGAAAAGAGGCTGGCACGGAGGACTCTTCACAGCACGGGCATGCAGGTTCGGTTGAGTGGAGGTGGTGCAGCAAGAGCTCCCACTCTACAAGTCCCCAAAAGGTTCAGCACCAAAACAACCTGGAGAAACATGAGGCCAAGGAACCTAAGCTCCGATCTCCTTTGCCCCAGTTGTCACCACTCTGTTAGTGCTGCCACCAACTCACCATTCAATTCCCTAACAACCACCATGGAAATTGGATCTGGAATCACCACCGGGGAAGATTCCCATCTGGGAAAAAAAAGAGATGCAGGGACTGGCACAGTCTTAAGTTGCGTTCCATATCTTAGTAGCGCACCGACCCCTCATCACCTGCATCCATTTTCAATGTCTTCCTCTCCCTGTCTCTTTTGGCTGCCCTGCCCTGCCCTGATCCCTCCACCGAACAACGTGCTGCCCCTGAATAGTCCCTTTTTTGGTCAACCAGCAACCTCCGATTACCTAGCCAAGTACCTCTATCCATCCGTCCGTTTTGTGCCCAAATCCACTTTCCCAACCCTTTGGATCCTAGACTTTACATACCTAGGCTTTGAGATGCGTCGGGCTGACGACGGTCTGGTTTTCCCCCGCGATCATGGAGCTACTACCAATTGCGTCAAAGGACTGTGACCGGGCTGTACCCTCTTAGACGTCAGACCTACCTTTTCCTCGTAAGACGTCTATCATCCGGCATATTTGAACAAGGAAGAGAAACAAGCGGGAAATTTGTTCTACCCGCCCTTCTAGAAGCTTTTCTCCCTCGTTTCGTTTCTTTAGGGATGAACGGGTTCGGGTCCGGTCCGGTACGTACGCTGAAAAGCTCAAGCCACATTTTTGCCAGGGTCCTGGTCACTACCGAGAGGAGTAAGAAAAGAGGTTGCACCTCATTTTATTTGCCTTACATACTGTACCTGTACCTCGTACATAAATCGTGCCGTTCGTTCCTTGATGTTGCATCCCGACTAACCGAGGAAACAATTGTCAATGAGGCTTGGGCGGAGAATGATCTCTTTCTGTATCCCAATAAAGATATACAGTAGATAGGAAGTTCAGTGTCGCCGTTGGAAAACCAGGCGAAATAACTAGACGCGCTACTACACTACCATTCAAAGCCTCATTATTTTCCCGCTTACGTACTTCGGACGGTAAAAAGAAAACAACATTTCAAAAAAGCAATAAGAAAAACGGAACGGAACGACATGCGCCCAACCAGGAAACCCCTTGCTGGCCACCCCATACTGCATAGTAGATCAACCCAGATCATTCCCGCTTCCGTCCATTATCACCGGCCTGTGCTCCAACGGCCGCGGGACCGGGAACTAGGACCGAGACAAGACGAGACGACTAATGAGGTCGGGAAGGCTACCCGAGATTGATTTCTTATCATCGTTTCGGTTGATGGGGGGGGGAAGGGGGGGTTCTCGGGTTTGAGGACGAGAGCGTGCACGCATGCGCCACGGGAAGCTATTGTGATGTGCTTTTTTGATTCCTTGATTGACCCCTTTGGCAAGAGAGCGGGCTATGAAGTTCAGCGTCTGCGAGGTTCTTGAATATCGCTGATATCATCGCGATATCTACCTACGTAAGAAGCCGTTTATCTCGTCAAGCCTTTGGGGAAGAAGTGGCGTGAGGAAAAAAAACGAAAGCCGAAGAAAATTCATGACAGCCCTCGGATATCCAAAGAGGAAATGAGATGTCAAGTTTTGAAGAAAACAATACCTCCCATTCGTAAAATTCATCCATCATCCACTATCATACAAATCATATCTTTATCCATCCCCACATCCAAAATCCCTCGGTTCACCTCATCACCGACCCCGCCCTACTACTCCTCTCCCTAATCCTCCCACTCCTCCTCACCCCCATCCCCTCCCCAAACTCCTTGATCCCATCCACAAACCCCTCACCAACCTCCCTCAATCCCTCAGCCACCTGCTTAATCTCCTCCTCCAACGACTTGCTCAAATCCTCTCTCTGTCTCCTCGCGCTCATCCTCGTCTGCCTCCCACCTCCACTTCCACTTCCACCTTCACCAGCCTTACTTCTACCCTTCCTAGCACCACCACCACCACCACCACTGCTCCCCCGATTCTCAGCCCCCTCAACAACAACCGCCCCATCCTGCCTACTCTCATCCCTCAACAGCCTCGTGCCCAATACCCAATCCACTAACCCCCAAGCCCCAAAATTCCCACTTGTTCTTCCTTTTCCTTGCTTAGTCCCTCCTTGCACGCCCATGCCTTCAAGCGTCCCAAAATGCCGACCCTGCCTCTTCGCGATCCCGCCCACCAACACCCCCGGAATCGGCACCAGCGTCAACAGCGTCGTGTACCCCGCCAGCGACAAGGTCTCTTCCAGCGTCACCAGCACCGTAAACAAGTGCATCGTCAAGAGATGTAAGTGATGCGTGGAGCTGGGGATGGCGGAAATAGGGAGGTAGGGGACGAGTAAGGGGGAGATGTGGAAGGAGAGGGACAACAAAAGGGGAGGCAGGTAAAGAGGGAGGAAACGGTGGAGGAGGGAGGGGATGGGGTGGTCGGTGAAGAGGGTGAGGGGGGTTGGTTGCGTTGGTTGGAGAAGAGATGAAGAAGGTTTGCTGCGCCAGGAAGACGAGGTTGTAGAAGAAGAAGAAGAAGAAGGGGGGTTGTTGCCGGCGTGGGCGTAGCGGATGTGCAAGTTTGTTAGTCGGTTGGTTAAGCTGGAGCCAGAGCCGGAGCCGCGCTTCGAGGTTTCATGGTGAGCGTGTAGGACGAAGCGGTGGATGTAGTAGGTTAAGAGTTCCCTTCCCAAATACAAAATGGCGATGTGCTTGGCCATCTGCCATGGTAACGGCAGGGTAGTCGTTGTCCGAAAAACCGGCACTCCAAAAAGGGTGCTGACGCCCAAGGAAATAAGAACCTGAACGACGGTCGAAGTCAAGAGGTTGAGTAACCCTAGACCTAGAAGGCGGGCGTGCGTACGGACATTGCGATCTTGCAAATCGACGGCGCCTTTGTACTTGAGCGAGACCGAAATGCCCGGGCAGAGCGTGTCGAAAAGGAGAAAGACCAGAGAAGGTAGCAGCCAGAAAACGAGGCGGATGCCCAAAGTTCCGAGGATCTCGAGCTTGAAGGGCGACTGGCTGAGGACCAAGGTTGTCCAGGTCATGTAGAAAAACAAAAGGTTGAGCGAGGTGGACCAGGCTGTCATCGACGAGGGGAGGAAGTAGGAGACGAAGGGGAGGTTTAAAAGGGAGGCCATCTTGACATTGGTCTCCAGGGCCTGGAGATAGTGTGAGACCAGATGAGGCTTGTTTACATTCGGTGATGTTTTGGGTTTTAAATCCCAGAGGGGCCTCTACTTTTCAAATTCCAACAGTCCATTCAAAATGTGTGGGCTGAGAAGAGGGGCTGTTGACCTTTGGGTCAAAATACGAGTATGCGCTGTAACTGGCCTGACCATTCAACGTGTCGCGTGGAGACTGGAGCCGCCCATGTTACAAGTCAGATTTACACTGATTCTTATGAGGATATTGTTAGCTGAAAATATGAAGAGATCCGCTCTCCCAGCTTGGGGACCTTTTCAAACACCAAGAATTGTGTATACGACGTTGGTTGCCCGTGCTACACGAGTGAACAAACTCTGACAACTCTCATTCCATCGCTGAATTATCGTACCCTATGACGTCGAGCCGGGGTTGTTGCCGTCCTAGCCGCCCGTCCTGCTGCCGCCGGCAACTGTGTCGTGTACACTAAGGTATACATATAGGGCCAAGATAGCGGTCATTACTGGCAGGACCACTTGCCGGCCGGTGATGCCATTTTCGCCTGGTGCGAAGTGTCTTGATAAATTCCGAACGCTTCAAGCTCAGTCTCCTCAACGCCGTTGAGTAGATCGTAAACTTCTTTTGATCTTTTGATCCATATATTGCGTCCATACAATCATATAAAGTACCTCTATGTATAAACCTCGATACCGTACCCAAACCATCCGAGACCGAAAACAGAAAACATGAACCAACGGAATTACGTGCACACAAACAAAACACCAAAACTCGCTGTGCAATGCACATCGCGGTCTAGCATCCAAGGAGCCAAGTTCCTTGTATAACTGATAGAAACCGAAGAAAAACACAATAACCGCCCGGCCTGCGTTAACCCTTTACACGCCGCCCCTGTCTATGCCAACCCGTAGTAAACACCTAGTATCATAACTTGGCTTGTAACATCTGTTCACACATCCTCTGAGATCAAGGTAGGTAGGTACCTTGGGTACTGCATCACATCCAGCCCTTCTTGCTCTTCAGCCACTTCACACTGTCGATGCCAGCCTGAACTCTCATGCCGAACCGAGCATCCAAAACGAACCCATCCCATTTGGACACCTTGTCCAGATGCAGCTGGCACTCGTCTGTCTTTTGCTTGCGGAAGGATTCGACCTCTTCGGCGGCTGATGGCCAGGCCTCGGGGCTGCAGGCCTCCATCCACGCAACGGCCGCGACTTCATAATGGGCTGCGGCGCCACAGTAGTCGTCTCTAGTAGGGCCTTTGAAGACGGATCTGCAGAAAAAAAGGTTAACAGGTTAGCACAAATGTTCGGTATCAGGTCAAGTGAGAGGGAAAAGAGAGACAACAACATACTTGTCAACACCCAAAAGAGGCTCCACCAACTTCCTCGCCTCCACGCTCTTGCCCAGCTGTCTCAAAAACGACGACTCGGCCAACAATCCAATAGCCACCTCATCCTGCTCCAGCTTCTTGATCTTCGGAATCACATCCTTGTCCGCCGGCGCCGTGCACCGCTCCCAAGGTAGATACGTCCGCGCCTTCTCCAGCAAGTGAGGCGGCATACGCTTGCTGCCGTTCCACAAGTAAATCATCTCCATGGCGGGACTGACGCAGATCACATCGGCGAGATCCAACCCGTACGCCTTGACGCGCTCCTCCCACTTCTGCAGCTTGCGCAGCACAAACACCTCAAAGGGCATCGCCTTGGCCATGAAGCGTTTCTTGCCGGCCACGGTGGGGGCCTTGCGGAAGTACTCCTCCGCGAGCTTCTTGTGCTTGAGCGCCGCAGAGCTGGTAGCTTCGCCGCTGTGGAACAGATCGCGGTACAGCTCCAGCTCGGCGCAAGCGGCGAGGTAGTAGTATAGCGCGTGGCTCCAGCTGTTGAGCTCAACGCACCGCAAAAAGTGGACGGGCGCGGACTTGAAGTCAAGGGCATAAATGGAGTTCATGCTCAGCTCGAAACTGTTGAGCGCGGCAATCTGGCGCATCTTGCTGTCGTTATTGTCAGCCAGCATGGCCAGGGCCTCCTCGATACGGCGACCGTTGGCCAAGACGCGGGCTTCTTCGAGCCTCCAGAGGCGCGAGTCCGGATACCGCTGGCGCATCTGGGCAAGCAGAGCGGTGCACTCGTTGCGGGGGTAGCCGACGGCTTCGAACTTGGCACCCCCCGTGGAAGGCTTGGAGAGTTGCTGGATGTCGAGCTCGCTGGGGAGGATGTCGGCAATTCCGAAGAAGAGGTTATAGTACTGGAGGAGGACGAGTCCGGCCATGGCGCCGTTGACGTTGTCGTACTTGGTTGACTGCCAGAGCATCTGGACTCCCCTGTCGCGATCGCCCTTGAAACCAATGACGGAGAGAAGGCGGGAGAATGCTGGGGGAACCATGGAGATGATGAGCAGGAGAATACCAAAACACATGCTTGCGCCGCTGTGGACGAAGATGTCAACGGGTGACTTGAAAAGTGACCTATCGGCGCCGAACTTGTTCAGCTGGTCGAGGTGAGAGAACTGGGGTGTCGATGGCGTCGTATCTTCTGGGGAGGCATCTGGGAGTACACTCTGCTCGCTCGTCGCATCGGTGTCAAGTTGTAGATGGCCTAACTTCTCGTCGAGTATCTCTACATCTGCGGCCGTCTTCGCTTCGTTGGAAGCCGATGCGGACGCTGGTGTCTGAGGGCCAGAGGGGTCTTTGGCGACACTGGCAGAGTCTGCGGCGGCGCCGTTTTGCGAAGGAGTGTTTGCGCCTTTGGTGTTTTCGAGGGTAGCGAATTCCGAGTCGCTGAATGCACCAGGCATCTTGTCGAGACTCGTTTTGGTGGAGCTTGCGTTCGTGATGATACCCTTCTTTTCCAATGTCTGCAGATACAGCAACTCAGAGGCCATGATACCATCCAAGGTCGCGTACGCCTTTCTCAGCTTGTAAAATCCCTTGATTCCTTCCGTCAGACTTTCGTGCATCACAGCCACCACGGCGCCCATGAGTTGCGCCTCTGCGTTCACGAGCGCAAACTCAGAACCCGGAGGGTAGATGTGGCTTCCTCCTGACGGATGCCCCTGGGGGTATACCGAACCACCGTACACCCCATGCTTTTCCGCCTCTTTCTGGGCCTTCTTCATGTCATTCCATGCCCGTGTTTCCGTCTCCCCCAACCTGGTTGTCGCCTCGTTCATGATGTCCTTTTCGAATCCCAAGATACTCCTCAAAAATGTCGAGACACCCACACCAAGCTGGTGGAATGTCGAGGCATCTTCGCGCGCACGCAACATTGCTTCGGCTCCGTCGATATCGTCGTTCATAATCAACGCTACTGCTGCCATGGCATCTTCAATGTTGCTCGCCTCCTGCTGGGCAGCGCTAACTGAGGCGGTACTGGAACGTCCATGTTTGTTGAACTGGTCGCGCAAGGAAGTAGAACTGGCGGCCGGGCTCGGCGCAGCACTCGGCGCTTTGGACGACTGGTTCGAGGCGGCGGACTGTCCGCGCAACCAAAAGCGCAATGCAGCAGACATTTTGGCAAGTTCCAGGTGGTTGTGTGACCCTGCGTTTTGCGGCCGGGTCGTGTACTGTAACGGTAGCCGTTTGAAGTGGTGTTGCACGCCGCCGAGGACGGAAAGCGGGTTGGCGCGGAGGGGATGGGCGCCGGATGCCCGAGTCGCCAAGCAAAGATCCGAGGTCCGGGATCACTTATATAGTGCCACCGGCGTCACGACTTTTTGGTGTGAAAAATAGCGACAAGAGGACCTGCCTTTTCGCAGGCTGAGGCAAAAAAAAAAGTAAGACAGCGAAATCCAGACCCCGCTCTGCCAGGATCAAAAGAAAAAAAAAATATGAAAAAAATTTAAGAAAAAAAAGAAACCAGAGGCAAGACCTGGATATATACAGGGGTGCCGAGCGGCAAGGCCGGTGAAACCGGATCTAAGACGGCACTGCAGACCTGGCGAAACCTACCAACAAGGAAACCTGGGGTTCGGGGCGTAACGCTTGTTTGGGACTGGCACTGACGGGGGCGCTGACTAGGAGCGGCGCTGCGGCCCAAGCCGAGTGGGCGGACTGAGTGCCCGGTCGGTTCGTGGTGGAGATCCTTTTCAGCGCAATCCAGCTTGTCCAGGCATTCAGCGCCGGCCGGGACTGGAATCGAGGTTTCCGGCAATGTTTTGCCCCAGCGAGGTATGTATGGTGCCCGTGTGCAATTTGTTCGTTCAGCGCAGCGGGCGTACCGTGAGCGGGCGTGCAGACGCGAGCGAACCAGATCGGAAAGTGGGGTTTTATCTAGTTGATCACCGGGGAAGGACTCCAATGGAGCGAGGTCGTCGATGTCTCGAGATACGGTATGCCTGCCGATATCAAGCAAGTCCCTGTCGTTGGTTCTCTTGACTCGATGAACGGGTGGAGTTTTGCGCTGAAAGGGAGGAGAAATGCGAGTAAGATCGGGTTAGTAGGTTCGTGTGTACCGTAGGTTTGTTGTCAGGTTTTCGTTCTTGTACTGAGCTGCGGCTCGTTCTTGAAAGGGCTTCGTGGTCAGCAGCGGGGCTGGTCTTTAAGTATTCGCCCAAGTACGTGAAGGAACTAGTAGCATTGCCCCAGAGAAAAGAAAAAAGAGAAAAAGGAAAAAAAGGAACGAGGGGAAAGAGGCGACGAGGCGTCCAAGAGACAGTGCCTTTTCCAAGAGAGACAATCGAAAAAGGGTCCCCGATGCCGTCCCCGGTTTTCACACCTTGTTCCATTCCAAGGTTGCTGCCCTGGAACTTGGGACAAACTGTGGCATGAACTGTCATAGGTCCTTCGTTTGATACTGTGTTGTGTCAGTATCCAATTCAAGGTATACTGGAGATAGGTAATATCCAATGCAGCCGGCACGTCTACGCCGCGCGCTTCTGCACACCGTACGGTACAATCTACATCTCGAACCGTAGCCCTCGGTCTTGCATCATCCAAGAATATGGTGTGGGTTCTGAGAGCCGGCTTCCAGCCATGACGGAATGGCCGATTTCCATCAGATCTCCATATAGTCTCTGGGGTATCATCCATTTCTCTCATCTCGCGAATGGCTAGGGCAAAGGCCAATCGAGTCTCAATGGGACTTCTAGGTCAGATTCGATATAAGCACTGCAGATATCGGCATACCATGTCGTGTAACCACTTGCTAGAGGTAACATTGGAGTCCTGAACTGGTTACCGCGATGGCTCAGTTGGGCAGATATGTATTAGGTTCAGTTTGCAACGAGAGGGGAAA